AACATTAATCAATTCGGATAATGTTTATAAAACCATAAAATTGTTGAATTTTATAACACAACAATACTTAATAGAATTGTGAAAGCAAAACGATTTTTTAGGTAATAAACTTATTCCACTTTCAAAGAAAACATTTTTGCGATAACATTTTACAATTAAACTTTTCATTATTTATATTTGATTAATTACTAAAACTACCGCTAACTAATTTTTCCCCACAAATTAACTTGTACTTTCAAAAAGAAATTGCTCACATGATAATACGCTATCATTCGATGGAAACTGAATTAATTATGCAATATTTTGACGTTTCGTTTGTTGAGCTACGTTCAGCGAATGATAGATCAATAAAGGAGTCTAGCCACTCTCTGACGTTTCTGTATGTATATAAAATAATTCATGTACACAGGTTGTTCATGAAGATCGTTTTTCACGTTCGCCAGTCTCGTAAATTCAGGCTGCACGTGTTGCTATGATAAACACATCCATCGACAAGCCGAGGCGTTAAGATACTTTTGGTGATCGTTCGATTGCCAGTAGCATTTTCATTCGCATGATATTACGATCGTTTCACAGTTAATATCGATATTAACATTGAAGGAGATCTTATAGTCATCGAATTACGTACGTACGTAAACGTATATACTCTTTGTTAACATTTTGAATTTTATAAACATTATGCAACGCATTGCGTGTCGAATAATTTTCAGAAAACTGAACTGTGATGGAAATATTCAATGAGATCAACTTATATCACTGTACATGCAAAAACTCAGATACCGTGTTGTTATGTAACATATTTTAAATAATCAATTCGAGTCAAATTTAATATTTTGTTAAATAGCGTGGTGATTAACAAAGTTGCATAAAGTGTCTTTATATAAAAATGAGATTTTTCTTTACCGGTACAAATGTGTTAATAAACGTTTATGATTTTAATCAATCGCCATAACGCGAACGTGTATTTTACATGTTTATCTTTAAACGTATGATTTCCAAAACCTAAGCGCTTCCCAAAACCTAAAGCTACCAGACAAAAAGTGAAAGTGACCTATTCCTGATTTCTTCTTTTAGAATCATTGAGAAGATATGTGTTTCTCAGAGAAATGACTAAGTAATGATTTGGTACTGTACGAAGTATAATATAAGTCAATAAAAATCTCAATAAATACACTCTTATAATTTACCCAGAAGAATAAAAGGAAGTCTATTTGACCGCTCGGTGGTTCTAGAGTTAATGAAACATACTTACTTTTAATTATACACGTGAGAAAATGAATGATACGTTTTTTGACGAAGTTACAATTTTAAATTCATTGTTTCCTGTTTATTGAATAAATTAATACAGCAATTACACAATATCGTAGGTTCGTTAAATCATGTTTTCTTTAATCTTTGTAATTTAGCGATGTTCCTTTAATGCAAATAATGAATCTTTGTTTGTGTTCAAGTTGATAAATATTCAATATTCATCCATTACTCTAATATACTAAAAAAAACGAAATATTTTGAACAATATACACATTACACCTCATAAAAGAAAAAATAAATTAAACTACAAGATTGTGATAAATCGTCACAAATAATAACAAAATGTTACAAATTTTTTATTTTAATTAGATCTATACCCAAATGAATCTAAATATACACAAGATCAAGATTCATACTTTTAAAGCACTAGGAAACTAAAGGAACTATAAACCTCTGATTCATTATAGTTTACAAGAGACATAGCTATTAATAAATACATGCAATAACAATGGGTCGCTAATAAAAAGCTATTATATATCATGTTACGCACCAGACGTGATCCAAGATCTAATTATCGACAAGCCGAGAGTAGCAGCCAATTAAGCAAGAATGACATAAAATCCTCCAACAAGCCCCCATTGTTCCTGTTTATAATGAAACGTCGCTGATTGGAATGTGTTTGTTGCATTCCGCGTTGAGAATTATTATAGATTAATAATTGGGGCAATTTTAATTGGCCAGTTGTCCCTTTGGAATGCATGTCTCGCCACAGGCGCGGAACAAAGCTGACCAAAAATCTTCGATTTACAATGAGACGTCTGCCAGTCGATGCTGTCTTGCCAAATTTATGTTCGGCCTCCGGCCGACGCCGAAGTATTCGGATTCATTCGGTCACGGTACCGTGACTCCTATGTTAACATCTACATCCAGGGTCTATTTTCTCTGAATACTAAAAGTTTCACGGGTACAGACGGTCAGTCACAAATATAAAAAGAATGGGCACAAAAATATTTGATACAATAATAACGAAGTTTTATTGGCTCTACTTTATGACTGTTATCTGTTTTATGATTTTATATTCGCATTTATTTATGTTACTATCAAAGTTTCGAATAGAAAGGATTTTCAAATAAATTAAGTCTTGTTCTTTGACGTTTCATAGAGTTTCACGCGTGAAGTATTCAGGGAAATCATTCATGCAAATATTTGCAAGAATTTTTGTATCACCCTTTACCTTTGCGTATTTTATATTGCACAATTCTTCGTCCATTTGACCTTTCAACGAGGGTTGCAGTATGCAGGAGCTAGTTCATAGATATTGTATTTTTTATGATATTATAAATAATATGAATATATATTATATTATAAATATTATCTTGTATAGAAATTCTATAGGATCAAGTAGCGAGGAAGTGATTCTATAGGGAAAGTAGATCAAGAGCACAAGATAACTTCCGAAAACCTTTGAAAGCTTTTTAAACTTGGAAAATACGTACAGCGAAAAGAGTATGTTAAAAAAATGCTATCGGTTATTTTCGAACGATTTTTTATGGAATCACATCCTTTTGCATTACCCTCTGCTCTGAAGAAATTTCCAAACTCTAAAAACTTCTCATAACTTTTCGAACTTTGAAAATCTGCCCAGCAGGGAGGACATATTTATTCTGGTAAAGTTTCTTTCCATGAACAATTGAATGTTGTATGGAAGCATTAAATATTAAAAACGAAGTAAACGAGTATGAAGTTTTTGTTATTTGAATAGTTAACTGCTTTGCAGCTTTCGATTTTGGATGCTAAAGCTTGAATTAAAAAAGGTTAAAAGTAAGGTCAAAAATGACCAAAACTTCGCACATTTTTTACTTCTCCATGTAAAACTCTCAGGTTTTCCACTACACTTCAAACCACCGTGCACTATAAATACCAAAAATGTTTGATGAAGACAACAATCTCGAGTAAACGCTCCTCGTTACACATAATTAACGGGTTCATCTATTTGAACGTTCGTGAGCTCTCGCCCTTACTTAATTCAATTATAACTTAATATTGCAGCTTAGAAAATTATTCAAGAAAACGGGGAACTGTGGAGTGGTGCTTTGCTTCGCTCGCCTGTTATTGTAATATTATTTATAAGACTTTAAAGACATAGAATATCATTAATAGTATTTTATATATTACATGATAATAATATATTTAATATTATTAATAAAAACACGTGTTAAATTATTTATTACAGCATTCGTGCCAAGTTTCAATTTACTACCGTCAAATAATTTCTTTCCATACAAACTTCGACACTCCACTTTATCCCCTTAAAGGTTGAATTTTAAAAAATCCTTTCCTAGAACGTCTGTACCTCATGAACAGCATCTACTATGTACCCTTTCATGTTCTTAGCTTCAGTGGTTTCACCTTGACGTTGATGAATTAGTCAATCAATCGATTAATCAATCAGAACGTTTCCCTTCATTTATTTAATTATGCTTTCCGATTCCATAAATATTCATTTCTCACGAAAATGAGTTTTGTTTCCAAATTACCCAAAGCCATTTTTCCACATCGCTGTTTTTGATTTTATTTACATTTTTAGTTTATTAATGTCTTCGCGTCTTGATGCAGATTTCATCCCTCGTTTCGACAAGCTTCTCAAATCAGCTGTTCCGTATTAGGTGCCATTAACCTAGATGTCGCTAGAAAGTAGACTTGTTTTCGAATCCGCAGTTTCAATTCCATTAGGAACTATTAAAACGAATATCCACTGAAATAAAAGTGAATACCGATTCCGCTTCGACGAGGCGAAGGGTTGGCCATTACTTCCTGGCACACAGGCCCTGGATCATCTCCGGGAGAGTTTCTTTTTCCATCGAATCTTTCTTGTCACGGTGAACCGTCAGTTTTTTGGCACGACACCGTGAAAACAATGCGGCCGTGTTCCGCGAAACCCGCCACGACGCGGACGCGTCTCTTGGCTAAACGGTGTGACGGGGGAAGATAGTAAAGCGGCTGAGGGAAGTTAACGACTACCGCCTTTCAGATCCCGGACGGCGTTTCCATTATAATAATTCAGGCTTCGAAACGCTGCACGGTGACATTTTATTATCGCGCGGCCCCCGTCGCTCTCGGCTTGCCGCCGGAATATTCTGTTCCGTAAATACGCGAGGGGACTCCGTTACAATGTAACACGATGGAAATGCTTACGGGTTTTTACGTAATGTTACGCGAAACGAGAAATCGTGCGAGCCAATTATTATTTTCGGTGTAACGCTTAACGAGCGGTCGGATTTTATCGGAGCTTCGATTGTCGAGGTGAAATACGCCAGAAGAAATGTAGTGAAGCATTCAGTTAGTGATTTGTTTTTAATTAGATAGTTAATGTGTAATTTAAATGGTTACTCTTTTTCAGTTAATTAGTACTGTATTTTTTGACATCACACCTTTTGTATTCTATAGTTGATTTATTATTATTTTTACACTTGGTTGGACTTGGAGATATTATTTAGTTTTTAATGCTTTGTGAGTATGTTTATTTTTAATATTCTCAAGGTTTCTCTTGTTATAATTTATGAATTTTTCGCGATTGTTCGAATAGCTTGTTGTCATTTAATTATTTTTATGTAAATTGATTGATAATGAAGTAATAGATCTGATTAATGAATTGTATATTAGTGACCTGATGAGTAAGTGTAATGTAATGATCTAGTTAATAAATAATGATTTGTATTGTACTGATTTCTCTTTATTGTTTCGTGTAGAAATGCTTGAAACCGGTAGCTTCTGCGACACCATTTTATCGTAGCACTACCCCGTTACCGTGACGAAGCGTCGGAAGACAATAGCACGGTAAATAACAATAACCGGTAACGAGGGCAAAGAATCCCTGGCTATTAACCTAACGCGTGTCTTCGTCCGCCAATAATTGCGAAATGTCTCGTGAACAAAGGGTACGCTTTAAATAAACCAACCACTTCTGAAACAAAGACTGTGAAAAAGTTCTCTCGTCTTTCCGATAGTTTCCCGACACTCGTGTGGTTCTTGGAAAAATATAAAAATAATTCAGTTAAGCAGATGTAATGTAAGTGTTTCAGCTTGTGTCAGTCATCTAATGCAAACAATTCTTACATTACATTTAAATGAGTATTAGCAAGAGACAATGTATTTACAAAAATTGATAAGTAAAGAAATCAGCGAATCTGCTGTAATAGAAATTGGAGAAACTTATGAGAAATCGGGGAAAGTAAAATTGAAGGAAATAATTAATAGAATATTTGTAATATTATATTGTAATATTTATATTTGTATTAATTAAATTGTAATATAATTAATATAGTAGAACATAATGAATATTGTTAATTAAATAATATTAATCATTTTTTTGAGTATGTGATATATATAAAATTGTAAACATGATTGGAAATGATAGTCATTGATGAGTAGTATTAATAGATATTGATCGCTATAACTACCCCATCTATCAAAATGTCAGCTTTCAGTTTCCTCATTTCGCAATTATTAAAAACTTAAAAGCGTTAAACATCTGAAATAACTACAAAAATAATTGGTTTCTCTTTGATAATATAATGAACCTATAAAAACAACGAAAAGAGTCTATTGATACAGTTTAGAATATTAAATCTCGGTAATTCTACTGTCAAAGTCAAGTAAGAGTACGAGAAATTATTCGACGTTTATTATTTTATATTTTCCAACATTCACAATTTTCTAGAGCACGTTTCGCAGAGTTCTCTAGACCCGGCCTACGCAATGGGAGCATTTTACTTTTGGCATTGCAGGTTATTTCATTTGGCTTCTGCGGCCTGTCACTGACACGTTTGAGTAAAAGCAAGAGATATAGAATTAAAACAGAATTTGACAGAAGCATTTTCCACTGCCAAATTATTCGGATGTCTATTCACGACTTGTTCGCGACTTGGTTGTCATCGTCAAAATGCAAACTACTTAATCCGTGAAATGTGCTTCTCGGTCCATGTTATCCAGTGATACTGACATCGATCCATTTCTTCGACTCCTGTGTTAATCCCAATGTCTAAAATCAAATATCACGTTACTTCCTACTGACATTCAATTTAAAAATAGGAAATCCATGTAATCATAGAACACAATTCACAGAAAACAGAGAAAATTAGAAAATTAATTAAATAAAACGATAAAACTAACAGAGAAGTTATCGAACCCGGAAATTCAAAAAAGTATGAAACTTTGTGTGCAAGTAGAGTAAGTGAATTTCACTTTGAAGGGGTGAAACTACCCCTTATGAAAAAATACAAAAAATTTTTCCTAATTTTGATCAACTTTATTTTGCAGTTTCATAGACGTAGAAGAACAATGTATTTTCTGTTTAAACCTTTTTTGCTATCTCTCACCATTCTTAAGGTAATCTGCAGAAAAGAAAAATTAATATTTTTTTGAGGGGTAGTTTCACCCCTTCAAAGTGAAATTCGACTCTACTTGCACACATAGTTTCATACTTTCTTGAATTCCCGGATTCGATAACTTCCCTTCTAAGTAAATTCGCTTATGCATCCTCAAAGCCAACTTTTTACTATTATTTTCTCGCCGAACTCCATAGATTTAACTCGATAACTTCGTATTTAAACATTCCACTCGACAATTATACATAATAACGAAATATCCTCTGCTATTTTCAGGTTTTTAGGCAAGAATGGAATAAAACCGAAGCGGGTTTAGTAATTGCAGCCGACGTTACTTGGAGAAAAATTGCTGTAATCGGAGTAGGAAATGGAAGTCACCGAAAGGAACTTGCTGTACAGCGACGGAAGTGATCAGAATGAGTGCCGGGGAGAAATAATGAAGGTGTTTGGTAATTAAATTAAGGAGAAAAGTAAACAGCAGATAAAAAACGGGGATATCAAGGTTTCCCTCGTCAACTGTGAGAATATTCAACTCGTCGAAGGAAAAGGGTAGTCGCGTTTGAACGGAAAGCATATCTACTTTGAAAATACCGCGCGAATTGCTTTTTCAATGAAACAGACCGTTAACATCATGAAAAAGAGAATTATATTGACACGATCGTATAAATTCGAAACCGATCAATAATGAAAGGAAAGGAGAAATTGACTTAATCAGATGTTGCGTAAAGTTGAACGAGGAATCAACGGAACGAAATGTAAAGAAACAAATTTGAAACACGATCGATGAAAGGGAAGTATTACAATTGTTAGAGCTGCAACTTATGGAAATTAATGTTCTATACGAATCCCAGTGAATCGCACGGTGTAAGTGATATCTTTTGAATGTATCACACAAGTGTCCAGTGAAGTCGCGATGCAGTGATCGAGAATGTACATTATCGGAATTACACATTAGCGTTTCAAAACGATTCGATTGTTCTCTGGAATAAACCTAACACCGAGGGAGGACGAAATGGCGAGTCGAATGAAGGAATTGTATAACCAGGTAAAATATTTCTTTTCTTTTTGAAAATTTTTGCAAATTTTCAATTAATCTTTCAATGGTAATAGGTATTAGAACTGTGAGTGAATTTCTCTGGTAACATTTGAACGTAACAATTTCTTTTAGACGTTAGGTTAATAAATGAGAAACGGTGATCATATCGTAGATTAACCCTTTCCAATCTAATTTTGCCATCCACACACTCCCCAACTCTAATTTTATTTATAACTATTCTGTAACTATTTTATTACCAATTTCAAACTACATAAAATCATACACCACGTAAAATCATTAAATTGTCTATTTCAAGTGATATAAAACTACACACAAAATAGCAATACAAATAAGCGTTTCTAACCATTCCTCATTATACTTTTTAAGTATAACACTTCCATCGAACGAAACATTATAATCCCAAACGAGATCGGACGTGGGACTGGAAAGGGTTAAAAGCATGCATTATTTAATAGAAAACATGTTGACTCGACGAGTAACTCATCCACGCATCAATCCAATAAATTTGACATTTATTCAGTGCTCGTCTTCGAAAGAGAACTATGAGTGCTTTAAACACTTAGGTGATATTCGAGAGGCGAATACTCCTCGGTTGCACGATTCTCGTGGGGCTGTCCGTGTGCATATGGTCGGTGGCTATCGGAACCGATCACTGGTTCACAATCGAAGCGCCGGACGATTCGGGATTGCCCTTGGGAGACGCTGGCAAAGACGGCAGACGATTGATTTACAAACACATGGGTCTCTGGAGAGGCTGCACGCGAGGTGTGGCGCCGGAATTCGTGAACTCGACCAACATGCAGCCTTACCGTAAGTGAAAATCATTTTTAATCGGGCACCGGTATCCTCGCTGATCGCGCCGGGACCTGGATTCCGTAAATCCCCCGTTAAACCCTCATCCGATACGTATTGACAGAGGTAAACAAATTTAATATCTGCTACTTGCCCCGCTCTGCGTTGCACAACGTTCCGTTCGGATTACGGGGAACGATAAGAATGAGGGATGAAATTGCAGATGTTTGGAGCTGATGAGATTGAGAGAATTAGGGAGAAGGAAATTATAGAGATTGTTAGAAACGATTGTTAGAAGTTATTAGAAATTGTTAGAAATTGTTGGAGGTTGTTATAGATGGACAGAAATGATTAGAAACGATTGTTAGAAGTTATTAGAAATTGTTAGAAATTATTGGAAGTTGTTATCGGTGGATAGGAATTATTAGAAATTATTACTAAGTAATGAAGTTAGCTGTGAGTTATTAAAAATTGTTAGAAATTGTTGGAAATTGTTATAGATGGACAGAAATTATTAAACTATTATTAAACATTATTAACTAATGAAGTTAGCCGTGAGGTAAAAAAGTATTCGAATAATTATTTACATAAATTTTAACTTCGAGATCTTGGCTAATAACCACTAACACTTGTAAAAAGTTTAATGCATAAATATTGCAACACAAGAAGTTAATAAAAATGGAATAATAAAAAATCTATTGATAACTATTCATTTGTCAATCCTAAAGAACACCTTTTGAAATCTTCTGCGTATTTCGCTAAAAAATTCCAATTCAATACAATGTACCTTCCCATAGCACTACAATCTTTGTACCCATGAATACGTTAATCGGTTTTCCCAAATTATTCAGACTTTCCACCCACATCATCAAATCCGAAATATGAGTATAACAAAGGCATATCATCGTTATTCATGCTGTGCCCCCAATAACACTTGAATTGAGATAGCCAGTGATCCAACGTTCCATGAAACAACCAATTTATATTTATCAACAGTAATTTGAATTCGGGTGACACGGCGGAATCACGAGTTTAAAGCAGCATCGAGAATTGAATGAAAATACTCGGGGAGTAAGCGTCTCCGCCAACTATTTCGCTTTGCCTGCTGGCTCGGCCGTTCCTCTGCATGCTTGTCCAATAATTAAACATGCTACAGGTGATTTACAATGAGACAGGGCTGCGTCGGACGAGCCGTTGCATTGCACGCTATTTAAGATGTTCCGCTAAGAAGTTTCACATACTCATCAAATTAATGTCCCGGAATTCCAACGATCTTAAATTAAAGCTCCCACAAAAGCTGTGTCACGGGACGCGGACTGTTCAGGCAGAAAGCTGGTGGCGTCGTTTCAAGAAAGGCGAGATCGTTGACCCATATAAATAATGGAGGGCTCGAGTGTAGACACGGTCTGTCCAAATGACACTTTTGTATACAAATTTTCTGCGGAAAGAATGGAAAGAAATGGGGATGCGGTTCGGTGCACTCGCTTGCGGATACTTCGCGCCAATGCGAACCATTATATTTTTCATTCTTCGATCATGCTTTGTTGACCGAGCGTATAAAGTAATTCAAATTAATTCGCAATTGAATTACAGAGAAATTTCTTAAGAAATAATTTGTAAAATTTCTAGATATTGGTCCAAGCAAGCCATTATATATTTTATTCTTTGATCATGCTTTGTTCACGAAATAATTTAATATCATTTATACGAAGATTGAATTACGGAGAAATCTCTTAATAAATGGTTTTTAAATTTCTAGACATCATTCATAAATTGTATTCAACATTAAAACATTATATTTTTCAGTTGTCGATCATGCTTTGTTGGAGAAATGTGTAAAGTGATTTAATATCAATTGTACACACGTCACAGTCAATTTACAGAGAAATTTTTTATAAATAATTTTTTAAATTTAGAAGTTATTAATATAAAATTATTATAAATAAAATAGTAGAAAGTTCTATTTTATATTAACAGAAAATTACCCTCCTATATTTTCTAAAAATCTTAGTATAAGAGAGAAGAAAATTATTGCACGTACAGAACTAACTAGAAAATACAGAATAACATGTCATGTGACACTTCGTCTTCCAATGAATCTTTCTTGAACATTTATATCACTTGAATTTTTCGTAAATATCAATGCGTTGCATAAACTTTCAAAGCCGATTGTCTTTAAAATGAAGTCTCTTATTAGAAAATTTTATTCCATGCTCTTAACTTCCTATTTGTACTATAACTTCATAAACAACCTGTATATACACTTCCCTACTTCACTTCATAACAGAAATGATTAATTATACACGTCGTTTCCCTTCGTTTACCCACTTACATCGTTTACTTCGGATTAAAGCCGTACACTGCTCTCTGCAGCGGACTTTGATTTATCGTACATCTGGTTACAACTTGGTTCAATCCATTGGAGAAACGTTGCGTTTCAGAAACTCTATTGTCAGCAGATTTATTTCACTGTCACGCACCATAAATCCTTACGAACGATTAATTCTCATATGCAAGGAATAAACCACAGCACATAAAAATAAAGAAGAACTCAAAAATACTTTACAATATTCGTAAGAACAAATTTTCTTCATCTCACACCTGTGTTCGGCAAAATCAAGCTCGAAAATCTAAAAAACTATAAACTTACTTTTGCAAAAATGAAACATCGAGAAAAATTATTTTAAATATCGTATTTACTTTCGTGTAGAAAGAAACTTATTACATAGTATATTTAGTATACAATTACAGTTACCCAGACTCGTAATAAATTTCCTTCTGAACTTTTACTTCTTTACGTCCCACAAAGTTCGTGTTTGCATGTGTTTTAATAAAGTTGCAGTTCTTCAATTTACGTCTCCGTAATCAAACTTTAAATCTGCGTAAACTTTTTATCCGCCTTTAAGAACTCTACGGTAGCTTCTCGCGAATCGTAACATCGAAATGAACAAATTCGAATTCATAAATGCAAAACGGCCATTAACGTCAGTGATTTCGCATTGTACGCTCAATCAGACACTGTCAAAGTTCGCGTTTGCGGTACTGCCCTCGTGCGTCACGCGTCGCATATAGGGCTCCGCGGGTGTACTTAATCATCCACGCGTCAGAGTCATTGAATTACACGGCTGTAACATCCTCACAGATCACCACCATATATTTCTTCGCGACTGAATTATTCTGGTGCTCGTAGTTTCATTTGGTAGATTTTTTTTAAGTCGACTGAACCTAAGACTCCTTTTGTAATTAGAAATATTACAGATTTCAGAAGATTTGTTTTAGAAAAATATTAAAAATTGTTCTCGTGATTAGAAATATTAGAAATTTTATAAGAGTATCAGAAATTTTCTTTTGCAATTATAAATATTGGAAATTTTAGAGAAACTGTTTAAGAAAAATGTGAAAAATTTTCTTTTGGAATTTGAAATATATAATATTTTAATACCTAAACACTTCATTCTAATAATTTAATAAAAATGACTTCTACGAGAATGACTTCATTATAATATTTCTGATAAACATATCTCGTTGTTGATTGCGTTTAAACAAAGCAAGTAATATTTTACGTCTCTTGAACAATGTAGATTTGGATCTTACAATATGATTAAGATTTGTATAGAACATGTTCATCTTTCAAACAAATTTAAGATAAATCGATCGTAAATTTTCTTAGAAATACCAACTAGACTTAGTACTCATAACATCTGAATTGCGTTTAGAATTTAATAAGATGATCCACTGTTTGCGTTGTGGTTATGAAGCTATTACATGGCAGTAACCTGTGACCTTTTCCTTTATGAATTCATAAAAAACGAGCGAAAGCATAATAACTCTACGTAAAACAACATTTAAAAAATATGAACAAAGAAATATAATGACACAGAGACACATTATTTTCTTAAATAATGAATTTAATATTTTAATCATCTATAACTTTCCCTGTCTATTATCATATGTTCTATTATCGACAAACACAAACAGAATCATTTAATAATCTCCACAAACTTCATCAATATTTACTAATAAATTTCTACATTCACCATTTAGCCATTCATCAGCATACACTTAATATTTCTTTTCGCATAACTCGAATAAAACTCAATGGATTTAATAGCCACAAATTGGCTCTTCGCTTTATCGATCCCCGATTCTTTTTACCTCGCGGGTACTTATTTTCACGGAAGTTCAATTAGACATTTCACAGAATCCTATGTTTAAATCCACTCGGCGTCCCTTCGATTTCATTCATTACTCCCTTAGCCGGAATAAAGGCCATTTCCATTGCGTCTATCGAGGAGTTTCCACTCAATCTCGTTTAAATCTCCTCCTCGGCTCGCTCAGCCCCGTCTTTACTCGTCTTCCCGGGGATCACAGAGATAACAGTCCGTTGACATTAATTTATGCACCGAAGATTGTGTACCCCCGTGTAGCGTGTTTCAACAAAATAAACGATAGTCCAGGAATAAATGAAAATTCACGGGATATCTCCGCCATTCGTTTTCCTGCCTGCCGGCCATGTTTTTCCTCCTTTTCCGGGCACTGTGTTCTGCTCTTTGTCGAGGAGCTTATTAACGAGATGTGCGACCTGCTCGCCGCTACTCCTTCGAATTGTTTTTCAAGAAAACGAGTCGGTCCGACAGTCGGATAAAAAAGTCCAACAAAAAAGATTAAAACGTAAATGTAACGGAAAAATACCCTTTTTTCTTTCTTGTTGAAGATCTTTGTGCAACAACGTCGACGTTATTTCCAACTGGTCTCTACCTTACCTTGCATGCTTTCTGATACTGCCTGAAGCAGCTTGTACAACGATTTAAGTTTTTGCCAATTTCGTAACGTAATACGCCTTATTGTTCTTTGTATCCACCTCTTTTCCAGAGCAAATAGTTGAATGCAATTTGTGGAGAATGAAATTGCGCGTGGGTAAATTTTAATTTATGTTTCAGTGGGTGTTATTTTATCGTAGAGTGAAGTAACGTTTATAATAATAAAATAATATTACATAATGATTAATTAATAATTCAGTAATAAAAGTGTTTCATTGCAAATCAATTAGAAATAACTTCCACTGAAAAGTGAATATTAAATGTAAGATAATATTACTTTGTGGAAATGAATATTTAAGGAAACATCCTCATAGTGTGTCTATATCATTACTCCAGTTATTTTCAAACTTATTAAATTCTGACATAAATATTTTCGAATGCATTGAATATCTTTTCATATAATAGTAAACTAACAAGTCAACTTTCAAATTGACCGAAAATGGCCCCATATTCATTACACGAATTTCCAATAAGTCACAATTAAATTTTCAAAATGTTTGTACTTGGTGAACTTATATAATTATAACATATTAAAAGTTACATATGTTAAACATTATTTATTATATAATTATATTATAATAATATAATTGTACAACCGATTTTATTTAACTCACTACCTAACAATTACCAAAAATCGCACAACACGTGTAACTTTGGTAGAAGGAAAAACATAAAGGTTCATGCATAACTAAGAAACTGTTCCCACGATAAGGTGAATTCCGCCTGAAGAAAATTCAATCACGGTGAAACGGTTATTAGCCAGGATATAAATACCGATCAGACTGTTATTTCCGCTGAAACTGCTTTTAAAACGCTCCGCTTAACGGCGCAAACGAGGCGACCCGGGCAGGGGAGGATAACCTGGATAAGAAAATGGTAAATGAAGGCCGCGAGGGAAATGGATGCGGTGATCACTGTAAACCGGGGATTTAACCTTCGCTGATTCGGAAATCACACTCGCGCGTCACGGGGAAATGGGATTGATCGATCGGACGTTGCTAAATTCCTCGCTATCTTGCCTTCCAGGAGAGTGCAAGAATCAGGACATGTTCCCGACTGACATGCAGATCAAGATGGATCCTGGATTGAACAGAACTGTTGTCAGTGAGTGACGAAATAGTAATGATAGAAATATACGTTAACAATTGTATTTTAACCCCTTGCCTTATGATATCGTATAGGACCCGTGGTGACATGAAACTTTGATAAATACAAATGTCATTCAGCTCTTTGAAGCCTCGATTAAATATTATTTGTCATCAATCGTTATGCTTTAAAATAAACAGACATAGAATTCTTTTTCTGTCAGTTATTAATCATAAGGTAGTTTTAACGAGTGCAGTTATCGAAGTAATCTTAAAGCAAAGGGTTAATAAAGTGGATATTATTAGACCTAGTTTTAATTGAAAAATCAAAATGTATGTTTCAGTTTCTTTAAAATATTCTGTGATTTTTAATTAAGATTTACACGATCTTATTTTATTCTATTCGTGTGTTGATCCTTTCTTATTAATGATGGTACTTTCTATATAACTATAAGTTCTGTATAATTTTCTATATAATTATAGAACTGTATTTTCTATAAAACTGTAAATATAATAAGTGCTTGTTCTATTTTTAATTGAACAATAATTAAAGCTTGTCTTGCAATCAAGAGGCTATTAGAAATCGCATGTAAGAATGGCAACACGAAAGGAATCACTTATCAGATAGATTACTATAACACATTCGTTACTTTCAGATTACTCGAGAACTCAAGTGTCATTCGCATTGATCAGCTTGTTCGTGATGATAATGGGCTTCAGTTTCTCGATCTACACCTTCCGCAATCCACGATACATGTTCAAGCGACTGGCTGGTGGGATACATTTCATTAGTGGTAATTAATTACCTTCTGATCAAATTACACAAAATAACGAAGACATTCAAGTTCAGCGTGCCGAATGAGCATGCGAACCGACTATATCGCATTTCTAAAAAGCTGCATAATCTGTTCGTGACTGGCTTGTTATTAATATGGTTTAATATGTGATCTTAATAGTATTTCTTACGCTGAATTTGAATATACAATCCATGTTTTTCTGTCACCCACAGTTCTTGAGAAAATTTATTTTGAAAAAGAACTCAATTTTTCAATTTTAAACATTTGTCATGTCTTAATTGTGAAAATTGTTGAAACTTTTCTTACACAGTATTATTCTGTGAACCTCTTTGAACATAATGATGTAAATTTGAATAATATTACAATCATTTAAACATGTTTAAACAACGCTGAAAGGCAAAATGGCACCTGAAACCTGTCGATTTTTGTGAATATTTTTCAATTTATCTTAAGAAATAAGCGACTAGGAGAAAATCTAATTTCAATTGAGGGTGAAAAATAGATGTGCGGAACAATGCCAACGCGTGTCTCTCCCGATGCGCAGCGTAGCCACGGCTAGCCAGTTTATTCATGTAAATGTAACACCTAAGAATTGAGAAGTAAAGAACTACGTAAAAATAGTAATATAAAATTAAAAGTAGAGCGCTCAAGAACTAAGGATTAAAACTGAATAAAAGTAGTAGTATAAAGCTAATGTAGCAGTTAACATGTTGAACGCCGCACGATTTCATAGAGTAAAATACACAAAATGAAAGAAATACAATATTAAATTATTCGATTGAATTGCGTTACTATTATCGCACATTCATGTAGCTGAACATCACCGCATTAGGTAGCATTATTTATAATATAGAAATATTTCTAAATAATCGTTGTTTAATCGAGTGAATTACAGTAATTCGATTTGCTGGGGGTCACCGATGGCCCCCATGGTATATAACGTGTTCAGAACTAAAGAACTAAAGAACTAAAGAACTAAAGAACTAAAGAACTAAAGAACTAAAGAACTAAAGAACTAAAGAACTAAAGAACTAAAGAACTAAAGAACTAAAGAACTAAAGAACTAAAGAACTAAAGAACTAAAGAACTAAAGAACTAAAGAATGTAGATTTAAGTAGCATCAATTCTATACCATATTATTACCATGAAACTAATCTATTCGTGACTAACGAAAGCTCAAACCGTGTTTCAGCCGCATGCAACATGGTAGTGATACAAGTGCTCCTATCTTCGATCGAATTCGAGAGCAAATACGTGAATGCGACGTTCCCAAAGGGCGCGATCATGAGGTACGATTACTCCCTAATCCTGGCTTGGATCGTATTCCTCTGCAACTTGCTGGCAGGATGCGCTTTCATGCTGTTCTCGAGGAAGAGGAAGCGGGACAAAGCACCGACAGAGGAGATCGCAATGGCTGACGAGCCAACCATCATCGGTCGTTGATTCGTGTCTCCATTTTTATCATTTCCGCCGAACAGAGACTCTCGTATGTGCCAGACAGAAAGGGAAAAAAGAAAATATTGTGATCCAGGTGGCACAACGGTCAGAAGAAAAGACATGTACTTACTCGCGTATTGTACGTGAAAAGACAATCCGTTCAAAGACTCTGGCCCCGAGCAGGAAATCGATCGTCTACTTCGGATCTATCGTGAATCATGTTGGCTGATTGCTCGCGCACGTTTCGCGCGTCTTGTGATCATTAGATAAGAAACTTGGGACAAGAATGTCAGCGCACTGGCTCCATTTTGATCGTTGGCTGATTTTCAAACAAAATTTGTTATTCATTGATTTTATTCAATTCATTATTCATTTTTTTTTTTAAAGGTATTTATTATTCTTTCTTGTGTAGTTCTATAAATTCTTTTCTAATTGGAAATCTTTAATCGATGAATTATACTTTTCACTTTGCACCTCTTTAAAAGTGCAATCTTCTTTTCTCTTTTCTTTCTATCTTCCTAGATCGCAGTGCATTATGGACTTTTAGTAATCACCTAAATTTATACTCAAACAAGTTTCATTAAAGAGACTTTGAAAGACATTTTCATTATGTTTCAATTTTCATCGTGTTTATGGCGCTGCGTGTCAGCTGCTCGCGGTCGACGACTCCATAATCATTTCAAGCACCTGAATCGATAGTTTTACGTAATACTTTATCATTATATTTTTTCTGTAATTCGGCAATTATTAAACGACAATTATGGTAATGCTACTTAGAGATCTTTTTACATTAGTTTGAACTTCATTCTACTTCAAATAGAATTGAGCAGTATTTTTAAAGAGTGTCAAATTATTTCATCTAAATTTCATTTAAATATTGTTCTTCATTAATATAGTTTAACGATGTTACAGACATAAAAGTATAATTATTCATAACAGGATTTTTTCACCCGAGCTCTTCATGTAATTAATGAAATGGAGAACGTGAGTGCACTGAGATTCTCCATCCCCCCTCCACCTCCCCCAAGTGATTCAACTGTCTCTTACAATATCGTAGCGTCGTATTTCTCTAAACTAATTGATAATCACATACTGTCCAATCGATTCGCTACGAATCATCAAAAATGAAGGAAATACTTAAAAATCCCCCGACTAAGAAGAAATTCTATTTTTCTACATCAGATTGTCGAAATTTAAGATACTATCGATCGGGACCATTCAATATCAATCAAAAGATTTCGGTTATTTTTCTCTGTCGACGCATCTGTGACTGTTCCCTTTCGGAATAAACTTCTAAAGAGAATATTTGCTTGAATCTAGCCTCACACTGAACAAAACTACGTCCATTTAAAAAAAATGGCAACTTCGAACTTATACAGAATTAAATAAAAAGATAATGAATACATTGTATACATTTTTAAGTGACGAGTAACTCGGTATAAATAATTGTTCCTGTTCTTGTAGTATCATCTATTATCACAATTGTTACAATAATTATTAGGTCTACAGGAAAGTTCGATCATTCTACAGAAACGGCACAAATTACTTTCACGTTGGTAAAAAGGTCATTAGCGATGGAAATAATATTATTCGGTAAATATTAAGAAATGAATTGAAAATGTATTTTCTTTTCATTGAAAATCGGACAGAATTTTCCGGTAGATCTAATATTATCATGATTAATGTTGCTTGTATAAGTCAGAATGCGTTAAAGGCAGGTATACCGAATCTAATCCCCAACAAACGTTCCGTTCCGGGTCAAGCAGGGTGCAACTGCGTGTGAAAGTTAAAAATAACTCGAGAACACTCCATGGGAATGTATAACTAAAATACAGTAGTTCAACTCCTACGCTAAATAAGTTTATTAGGAATTAACTGCTGTGTTGTACGAGAATCACTTATGTAATCGCGACTCGATTGAATCAACGGTTCGTAAATAGGCTGCAGATGTTTATGCACTTATAACCAGCATAACAATTAGACCTCAGTACAGTAAGAAACTCGACATAGTTAAATGAAATTTTTATTTCATTTGAATCTTAACACTACAACTACCGAGCCTGTAATACAATTAATCCCTTGACGAGTGTAGACATAGAATTAGCATAAGAAATTGTTCTTTTTCTAATCGATTATTAACGATGAAATAACTGTACTGATCATAATTAAGATATAAATCATAGGGCAAGAGGTTAATGTGTAGTCCACATAAGAATTAATCGTTATAAATCATAGTCAATTATAAAAATTATAATAATAGGTTTCTTTCGGTTCCTTCGTATTCTCGATGTAGCATTCAAGTGAAACTGTTCGTCTCTAAAATCACTTGAGATATTTAACACTTTAGAAATACCAATAATCGTTGGATGAAACAGTTGGCACCCGCCATTTTTTCGGGCGCGGTAGTTCCAGTGTTGAGAATGTTACAAATTTATTTAATCTCTAATTGCTACGAATTTCTATGGAAAAATGAATCGTTTATAATTGCATAAACATACGCAGTCTAATTGCCATATCTTAAAGGTCTTGAAATACGTAGAATCTTCCTCTAGTATTTGATACCGACGCCATTTTCTACGACGCGATATAGATTTTAAGAAAATTACCGAATAATTAATATTCCTGTCCTTCGTATAATGTCCCGAGTTGGGGAACAATTTCGGCGGTACAAGATGCAGCCGGAATCTCGTTGCTCGAATTACGAACACAGCACGCAACCTCGAAACTTCGGTAATTTGCACTTTTGGGGGAGCGGGACGGTTTCATCCCAATGATTTCAAAGGGAAATGTACTTTCACGAGAATACATTGCCACGTTTCTCAAGGAAGATAATTATCATAGAACTAGATTTGATACCGAGACAGTGAATATTTTTATCCCGATAAAATCTGCGAACACAGTTTCTTGATGAAGTGCATTTAATTTTGAATGATCGGATCTAGAGAAACGTCCATTGAATTCGTTTCATTCGTGCGATTCGTGAAATTTCGTTTCAACGATGAAACTGATTTCATACGAAGAAGTAGACCATTTATTTAACACCTTCGCTAACAGCGTCGCGTATTCGCGACGAACAATGTTTCACGTTTCGTGCAAAGAAGGGTAAATTACAATTTACCTGTGTTTTCATTCGTAAGTATCGTAACGCATGATATCAGGCCGTGTAATATGAAATGTCGGATTTTTCTTACTTGTAAATGATTGTACTCCTGTTGTTATTCCTTTGTTTTTCATAGAAGATTATCAGGGTAACTTTTAGCAAAAAATATTTTCCGAATTGTACATAATAACTGTTTCTTGTAAAAAAACTTGTTCAAACTTGGAAATACCACTGCGAAAACTGCTCGAAATATAAACATAGCATTTGAGAACAATATTATGAATAAAAGAACACCGCAGAATGGATTTACAAAATTTTCAATGATATTTCTTTGCAAAATAAGCCGCATGGTAAACTTGAAACAATTTATAACAATGTCTTTAGAATTCATTAATTCTAAACATTCAGAATTTTTCAGGAATATATTCATTGAAAACACGCTTGCAGAAGTATATCGAATCGAATAGAGCATACTTTCGTTTAAACGTCGTTTAGAACATCAAATAAGATTTCTTTTTTCCCGCAAAACTCGACATTTTATATTACACTACTGATAGAATGTGCAAGAAATCGAGGAGATTCTGTTTCTAATTATTATCTGTATTTTGCAAAGACGATACGTTTAATTTAATAAAACACTGTAACCTCGAAGACTGTTATTGAAAGAAATGCTGATAGCGAATGAGTTAAACGAAGAAATTCTGTTCAAGGGAAGCAGCTTTGAGACCTTAACAGGATCGAAGCAACTACCGATTGGACTTGAAAGTTTAGTTAATCCTGACACCATGATCGTCTATAGTACAATGCCCATACGGTTAAGACAGTTATTATTTGCTCTTGGAGGAGAGTCAATAAAATCGAAGTATTTCGCACCGAGCTATCAAGATGTCTTGATATAATCTATATTTACGATTCTAGTCAAACTCATATCTACACGTGACCGGAGGGAATTTATTCCTCCCGTAAGGGAAGCCTGCGAAACATCGTTCTCCGAAGAAGATATTTTGTAATGAAACTTTAACACGATTATACAGTATGTTTAACATCCACGTTTTTGAGTCTAGCGAGATTTGTAGTGATCGATACTGTAATGTCTACACGGTGAAATGATCTGTGCTCGCCATTTCACTGAAAGAAACTATTTCGACGATATGTTTGAGCATTGTAAATCATCGTCAGACTACAGATGTTTGCACCGATTCATATTTTGATAGATTCATTCGCGAAAACTGATATACAGTAGAACCCGCTATGACGCGATTAAAATGTTCGGGGTTTCACGTTTACAAATTTCGTGTGAAATTCTCATTTTGGACACTGGTCCAACTTATATTCAACTGTGGAATTTAGTTTGAAAAATCTCTCGTTCTGCGCGTGATAAAATCAAAAAGTATATATAATATAATATATTTTAATGAAAAACCAAAGCAAAACAAAGGAGAATTACATGTTTACCTATAGAAATAGAGAAGCAATTTATCGTTGAAGCAATTAGTATCATTTCAAGCTTTAAGACGCGTATACTCGTCAAACGCAGTTAATTGGTCAGATTGGTCCTCTGCTTGTATCAGTTTCTTATGGAGAATCTCACTTTCATAGTTATCTTTCGACGATTAATTAATGACGTCATAGGGGGTTCTACTATATTAAGACTCGTTCAATCCAACGAAGTCTATATTTTCTGGTTCTTTACACATCAGATTCACTGTATTCGTATAATAAATACGTATGAACATCTGGAGTTTGGTTTACTACTAATTACAATTGCGATTCTAGTCAATCGAGTTACTGAGTTCTTGGGAATGAGGGTGGTGCCAATTTTCTCGCGTCCCAGGAAAATGCTTAGGAAACGCAGGAATTCGTGGATAACTGATCTTCTCAGTTCATTCTCTGCGTGTCACTCTAATTCCCACGATCATATTTGTATGATACCTACGCCATTGAACAGATTTTGGCTCCTGCAAAAGAGAAACTTAGCTGTGTCGCATAATCCGAAACGCACGAACTGTTGGCAAAATATTCTTACGTGCAGAGGTTCTCTTCGAAAGAGAATCGAGAAGCGTAAGAAACGTCTGTAAATAATATTATCTATGTACAAATTTATTATCTGAAGGGATTTTGATTAACTGTCGTTCAGAAAGCAAATTTTCCTATGGAGGGACGATTTCGCTTACACACAAGCAGATGTACTTACTTACACGTAATATTACGGTTTAAAGGGATGAACGGCACATTACTGCCGCCATGGTTATTTACATTTACATGCGATTCATTGAACACATTATGTTTATGTAAGTTTCAAGTTTGATGTTCTTTGAATTAACAATATTGATGATGAACGTTTGCTAATTGCAGAAGTGTATTTCTCCACTTTCTAAATTCCGTGAAATCCGGAAACAAGTAAATGTAATTTGCTCGGTTGTATATTTATTCTTAATATACGCATGAAGAGAAAAATCTTTTTAGTCTAATAAAGTAATAATAGAATCAATTTATTTTCATGTCACTTCTTGCTCCTTGCGAAGAATTTTGATGAAATATTTAAAATGTGTTTAATTAATTTCAATAATCGTTGATAATGTAATTATTTTACGTTACACTATGCTGATTATCAGACGTTCATATGAGAATGAATTATGCTAAAGTCTGTCTGGTTGAATGTTCCTTCGCTTTTTGCTTATGAAATATAAGCGGCTGCCCACACGTCCCGATAAAAGACATATATAGTTTATATATGCGTACGTGAACATGAAAATGATTATAATTATTGTTTTCCACAATCGAAATAAAGCACATTCACGTCTGCTAAATGGAATTACATATGTTTATTTTCATGAATCCAATAACTGTTCGTTGATCATACTTTGGTGCTAACAATTCTCTATTTTGTAATTACCCATGGATCTCGTTAGAATAGAGAAGTAAAATTAAATCGTGGAATCTCGAAACTCATGTAGGAACGGTAAACATTTTTAATAACACATTTTGTGCATAATTTTTTTCATTTAATTTAACAAAGAATGTTTTAGATAGATTATAAAAGTAATAGCTCATTTTTCAATTCATAATTGAGATCCTTCCCGATAATCTGAATAGCTACCGCAACTGGTAAATTATTTTTTGACACTTTGGAATGCCTTTTCAATTTTTCAGTGTCGATACTGTATTGATGGCAATCGCTAATACCCCGGTACATAATTAATACATATTTACTTAGTCTATAAGTTTTCATGATAGATGTATATGTAGATTCCATGTCGCAAATATTGAAAATTTAAAGATTTAACTGTTAGGGAAAAACTACTTCTTTGACATCAAATATTCTACATTCAGTTATATAATAATAATTAATAATGGACTACGTATTAATAATTTCAAATCACAAAACATTTCATTTTCAATCCTTTGTAACGTTAACATTTATATTTATCAAACTAAATATTGAAACGACTATTTATTAACGACCAAAATATAAACCAAACTTTTCTCATAATAATATTACCATTATACTGATAAATTAACATCAGTAGTACGAACTCGTATCTGCGGAAAGCCGGTTGGAAGCAGTTAGAGGCGACATGTAAGCGGCTCTAGAGGGAAAAATCGAGCGTTTTTCCTATCTCTGCAATGAATAGGACAAGGACAAAACGACTGTGCGACAAGGACAGAGAGAAAATTCTTGCCGCCACCTACTTTGAGAAAGCATCTCATCAATCCCTGGTACCTACGCGCGAAGCATGATGGCAAAGGAGATATCCGACAAGGATAGGTGCATAGATAGAAAAAGGACAGAAACAGCGGCAAAGGCGCCACCTGTTATAAAAGCATCTAAACTGTTAGCCAATTACTACCTTTGCATCTTGGGTTGGCGCCACCACTGCTATCTCTGTCCTTCTCCTACCTGTGTACCTATCCTTGTCGGATATCTCCTTTGCCATCATGCTTCGCGCGTAGGTACCAGGGATTAATGAGATGCTTTTTCAAAGTAGGTGGCGGAGAATTCTCTCTCTGTTTCTGTCGCACAGTCGTTTTGTCCTTGTCTTACTCATTGTAAAGATAGGAAAAACGCTCGATTGTTCCCTCTAGAGCCGCTTACATGTCGCCCCTAACTGCTTGCAACCGGCTTTACGCAGATACGAGTTCGTACTACTGGTGTTAATTTATCAGTATACTGGTAATATTATTATGAGAAAAGTTTGGTTTATATTTTGGTCGTGAATAAATAGTCAATATTCATTTATTAGTTTCAATATTTATTTTGTTAAGTATAATATAAATGTATAAATATTATAAAAAGTTATACGATAAGATATGAACATACAGAGGTAAGGGAAAGCCAGACGCATGATAAAGATGGAATTTAAAAAATCGACACGAAATTCATTAATTATTCGCTTTCTGTGAACGTGTAATTGATAGTGGCGATCTCGGAATGTAAAGTGAACCCTCAGCAACTTTCACAATGTACTTTTAACCGTACTTCGTTTCTTAGTAATCTTTTATTCATAATTTAAGGGTTTAACTCAACTCATTGTCCGTACATAATTTATAAACAAAAAAGCTCGTAAACTTCGGTGGATACTCTACCAAAGTACTGTAATTGAGAAAGGTTCCCTTGAATCGAATAAATAAAAATTAAATAAATCAAATTGAAAATAGGAGAAAAAATCAAACAGGCAATTTAGAAATGGTAACACTTTTATTTTTAAATAAATCATTAAGGGTTGAAATAATACATAAAAATTACGTTATGGTATTTAAACATTAATTTAGTATATCAGTTATTTATAATAAATATAGGTTTAAATTTTACTAATTCTTGCATCTGTGTAATACCTATAATGGAGAAATGTAAGACAGAAAAATCTAAACCAGAAAACATGTCTGTTTAAAATTTATAAAGAGGAACATGTACTACATTACTATTTCATTCTGTAATCATAATATTTTTTCCGTCAAGTACAGGCTTTAAATGATACAAATCTTTTAGTTTTACATCTCTTTTTATTGTTCCTATCGAGTTACGTCTATTTTCATCTTAAGTGCAATGTAAAAAAGGCACATAGAAATAGTTTCATATATGAAATGTGTTAAAAATAAAGCTTATATATTTCTCGATAAAGATATTTTACATGTTTAAAAAATATTCACTTCTGGAAAGTCTCTTATAGAGTAATGTCATTATCACAGTGATAAACTATTTTTAATATAAGATTAAGGTTCTCCCATCGTGATAAGAAACCGATATTAATAGCAAACCGATTAATCATGAAAGTTTAAAATTATGATGATATGATATGGTAAATTAAATATGTTGAATTCTTCTAATATTTTAAAAACCAATACTGACTTCTTTAAATATATTCGGAACGTTAAAATTATACTTCAATGTTGGATAATTAATTTACCTGTAAATAAATACCTTCTTTCGTAAAATTGATATAGTAGGAACTTACGTTCCTATATGTACATTTGTTATAGTGTCGTTGACGTGACGGCACTGACGCCATGAACTAATATTATAGGTGGTAAATCTGCAGTCAATTCCGTTAACAATTGAAGATATTGACGATACATAGTTTCTTCGTCCCAAGTATTTGACGCTGGTGGAGCAGGCAAATACATGAATGTCGTTACAGTTTGTGAAGAATACTGTCTGATTAGTTGATTGACACTAGAAAAATATAATTATTAAATGTTATTCAAGATGTTTAAAAAAAATGTATATTGATATTAGTAACAGTGTGTACCTCAAAATATAAGAACGTGAAACATTGCTTAAAATGTTGTCACTGTTTTCGATACTTGATTCAAATTGAGGTTCCACTCTTGATTCAATGAGAGATCTGCCCTTTAACCCGCGTACTTGTGATCCCCAATTAGGAATTTTTTTAATGGATGCAGATATTCTTAACATGTTCAATAGTTTTCTAATGCGATGTTCATTAGAAATTCTTGGATATTCGCTAATTGAATTTTGCGGATCTGAAATACTTAAATTCGCATCGCTATCTGAAATTTCGCAATGGAAAACTCTCAGATGTAAATTTTTCCATACAGGTACCATATTGATAATGCATGCAAGTTGAAGCATGAACAATGATGTTGTATCAAATGGATCTTGGTCTGTTGGCTGGAAGAAATTTACGGGCCATATGTCGATATATTTTAAGTTAGAATTCCTGAAAAAGAAATTATTTAGAATTAATATAATTTAATATTTTCAATAATATTACAAAATTAAATGAAAATTATATCATTGAAAAGAAATTAGTTACATATTTACTTTGTTATTTGCGATTTGTTTAATATGTGGAAGTTTCTGCAGAGGCATAAATTTTTTTTCATTTTTAGAACATCTGAACACATTCCAACATATTGTATTGCATCTAAATTTTTCTCTACATTTGACTGTCTAAGAGGGAAAACAGTGCTATTTGGAACTGTTGAAACATTCTCAAACATGTCCGTTGCATACTGAGAGTTCTTAAAGAAATCCGTTTGTGTTTCTTCGTCGTAGAAACCAAGAACAATTGTATTTGGTTTCATTGCTCCCATTCCAGATATCCTTATTAAATGATGCAATCCTTCGCGTACAGTTTTTGTTACTGTCAATTCAACGAATGCTTTTACTTTCATATGATCAACTAAACTTAACCAATGTGGATATTCTTCAATGGTAGGATCAATATTCTGACCCAAAAATTCTCCAACTTTTACATGGCCAATTACATAAAGTCCTCCTTTTTTCAAATCATTTACAAAATCTATAAGTGGACATGCTGATCGTGGTGAAGCAACCATTAAGAGCATTTGTGGTCGCCAAAATTTCACATGATCTTTACGTGAATCAAGCATTAATAAATATTTTCTAACTTGATGGAATATTAATGCTTGTGATATGCTTCCCCATGGTGCATTTTTACTCGGAGAAAATAAATGCAATACGATGATCAATATTAAACATAATATTATACTACTAGAAGCGTAAATACTATTTATAACAAACATCATTATTAATGTTCCAAGAAGTCCAATTGTTGCTGTGTGCCATGTAAAATAATTAAACGTTGGTCTATAGAGAAACATAAAAAGGTCCAAAATGTATTATATAAACGGTTGATATTACTATTTAATAGAATACAAAAACAAATTAAACGGTACCTAAAGTTTGGAGCACTTGCAAGCTCAAGTCCGAGGCAAGCTAAATTGGTAGCCAAATAACTTAATAAAAATAATACCGAATTAATCTGAGCTATCGTGTTCAAAGAACCGACAAGTAAAATTATTTGAACTAAAGTCCATGATGTTAAAACTGCAGCAATTGGATTTCCTTTCCACGTTCCTTGCGTCACGAAATTTAATCCAGATCCTACAATTACCAGAAATACAGAACTTGTAGTAAAATTTAATTGAAGTACTTTACTTGAAGTAAAATTAGTACAAGAAATTTTTTGTACGAAATTCAGACTTCAACTTACCAAATACATTATCTTTTGCTAATGCTTCTAATACTCTACTCGATCCTATTAAATTACTCAGTCCAGCACTAAATGTAGCTGTTACTATGCCAACTGCTACGAATGGTGGCCAAATATTAATTGGCATCATGTATATAAAATTATTTTGCAACAGAAATCGACTTGTACTTGCTGCTGTAAGAATAGATAAAAGAATGTAACATATGAATGTAAACAATACTGCTGACAAAGTTCCATGTGGAATGTTTCTGCCTGGATTCTTCAGTTCACCTATACATGATTATAAAATATTATTTGTAAATTGTATAAAAAGTTATATATAATTACATGTAAATATTAAGTAAATCAATGATTTTGAAAATTACCACTCATATTAGCTCCAGCCATTATACCAGTTACTCCACTAAATAATACACCAAATACGCTTGCGAAACTAGTTATTGCTCCATTACTTGAATAATCATGACTATAATTTGAGTAAAGATTACTTATAAGAGTAGACGATAATAACCCTGTATAAGTACCATTGACATGTTCAGTTGCATTTTGAACAAGTGTATTTGCATCTGGAATTGGTATCTGTAATAAAAAGAATAGTACAAATGAATACTTAACTGTTATTAATAATTATGTATAAGTAAAATGCAGCAAATCATTATAATGAACTTTTTTATATAATATATTATTACCTCCATAGCTCCTTGTGCTAAAAAGCTTATAAAAACACTTGACAGACAAACACAAACGACAGCTAAAATAGCTACACTGGTTTTTGCAAACATTGTTGCTCCTATTAGACATACTAATAAATTGGCAGTGTTTAATACGGAACAATATAAAAACCGCCACCATCTACCATCTGGAATAAGAGCACTCTTGCCAGATAAATAACCAGATGGCCCAAAGTTTTCTATCAATCCTTCAGCACAACCAGAGATACAAAGTGCACTCGATACAATGTTAGCCATGAAAAATAATGTACCAATAGAACCACCAAATTCTGGTCCAAGAGTTCGACTAATCATAACTGCATGATATTTAATAAGGAAAATACCAACTCTAGTTTTATGAAATCTTAATATAAACATCATTTGAAATTTTTAAAGAATAGATAATACAATATTGACAATAAAAATTGTCACTGTAAATAATGATTATTTTGAATCTTATAAAGTATGTAATTAAATGAATATTCGATATAAGAGTACATTGGCGTTTGATAACTTATCTTTGAACAACATGTGACCTCGTTATTATATATAATGGCTTACTAATTGCTAAAGATAAAAATAATATTTAGCAATAAAAATGATCATCCATAAAAGATACAATATGCTCCTCCTCCCTCGACTGCTCCATTTGTTGAAATTGCGCATACAGATGCTACAGTGAATAGTAAAATTCCATATGCGATTACGAATTGCGTCAAAGTTACAAGTAATCCTGCATTGCCCACAATATACCCTTAAATATAAAATTTATATTTTATAATATGGAAACGATGTAAAAATAATAGCATGTCTAATTATAGAATATAAAAAATACCCATTCGTATGAAAATTAAGGCACTAAACATGGATAATGTAACAGGACTAAATACGCCAGCAAAAGTTCCCAAGGTACGACCATTGTCTGCACCCAAACTACCAAATTCAACATATCCATCTCCTTCAGAATGTTGAGCTCTTCTAATTCTAAAGAAATTACTCAGTCTATAAAGAACACTTCTTCCATGGATTAATGGAGCTTTTTCACTCCCAATCTTAATGTGTGAAGATTCATTATTTGTTGAACCTATTTCTGATGCTATCATTTTTTTTCCTAAAAATACATATAAATTTTTATCAAATGTATAATATTAGTATGTAAGTAATGACGAATAACATGAAACTACGTCATTCACTTTCAATCACAGAAATGTATTCTGACAATGTATAGAATTGCAAAAACAATTATCGAGTGGTAACAATTAAGATATAACAAATATCTTTATACGAGCTATACGAACTACATAATATTACATTCATTTACATACGTGTGCCTTTATTTACATAACACAATATCAAACTATCGTTACACGTAATTAAATCACAAACATGATGTCACCCATTGAAACGTCAAACAACGACTGACTGTACTTAAACGTAACCATTCGAGGTTATTAAACTCACGTCAAAAAATATTAAGGGTAACTCTAATAAATGTTTATACATGATAATATATATTAATATGTATATTCATAATAAGGCGTATTGTTCTTTATAAAAAATTTAAATAATATAAAAATTCATAATTTATAAATCACATAAAGCACATTGGGCAATATTGTCAATTAAATTTTCTTTGAATCATATTTTCTCTGAAACGCAATATACCCCATAATACATTGGACTGAATTAAAATCGGATCTAAAATACATCGCATTTACAAAGTTACATTTCATGTAACATTGATAATTTATAAATAATTTTTATATTCATCGGATCTGTTACACTAAAAAAATTATTACTTAAACGCATCATAGATTGCTTGTCGCTTAGCAATTAGCATCAAATTGTGATAGAACATATATAACAAAATGGTTATGTATATAAGAAAGTTAGCTTTACCGTTATCACGATTGAATAGAATAGATTTTACATTAATTCGCCAAATGAGCACTGATCTACAATTAGATTCTGTAAAATCTTTGTCCTACAAAGAATATGGAGAACCTGCAAACGTTTTACATATTACAACACAGACTATTTCTCAGCCAGGAAATAATCAGGTAACTCGTGTTTTAATAAAAATAGAAAACTACCAGTAAAATTGTTAAGTAAGAATTTTTTTAATTAATTTAATTATTGATTACAAAAAATCGTTCTTTATGAAGGTTTCTGTAAAATGGTTATTAGCACCTGTTAATCCAGCGGACATAAATACAATACAAGGTAAATATCCAAGTAAACCACCTTTACCAGCTATTCCAGGAAATGAAGGAGTTGGTGAAGTAATAGCTGTTGGACCCAATGTAAAAAATTTAAATGTTGGAGACAGAATTGTTCCAAATGGTGTAAATTTAGGAACATGGAGAACGCATGCAAATTATAGTTCAGAAGAAGTTATGAAGGTGCGAAAAAGGTTCACACATAAAGTTTTAATAGATCATTATATTAATATTGTAATTTGTATCAAAATTTTAGATTCCTAAAGATGTTGGACCCATAGAAGCTAGTATGTTAAATGTAAATCCATGCACTGCTTATAGAATGTTAAAAGACTTTGTATCATTAAAACCTGGCGATACTGTGATTCAAAATGGTGGAAACTCTGCAGTAGGACAACTGGTTATACAATTATGTAAAATATGGAATTATAAATCTGTCAGCGTTATCAGAGACAGACCAAATTTACAGGAATTAAAGGTGAAAAAGATTAATGCGTTGTTTAGAAATTTATGTATAAGATTCGAAATTTTGTTAGGATCATTTAACCAGTTTGGGTGCAGATGAAGTTTTAACTGAGAAGGAAATAAGAAGCACTCAAATTTTTAAAAGCCAAAAATTATCACCACCAAAATTAGCTCTTAACTGTATTTGTGGACAAAATGCGTTAGATGTTATGAGACATTTAGCACATGGAGGTATTATGGTAACTTATGGTGGTATGTCCAGGGAACCTTTAACAGTTCCAACTTCTGCACTTATCTTTAAGGTATTCTTGATTTAAATATAATGAAAATTTAAAAGATAATTTATATCATAATTGAACCTGAGTAATTATTAATAATTCTGTAATGCATATAGGACATAACTTTGAAAGGATTTTGGATGACGGCATGGACAAAAGCAAATATAAATTCTAAAGAACGTGTAGACATGTACAGTGAATTAGGAACATTATTCCAAGAGAAAAAATTAAAAGCTCCGCCACATAAGTTAGTACCATTTTGTCAGTTTCAAGAGGCTGTTATAAATGCACTTAATGTCGATGGTAGAACTGGAGTAAAATATATTTTAGATATGACTAAATCTTAAATTAATTCTTTTTTTGAGTAATAGGAATTTTATAATTTCTTAATAAAACAGTTACATTTTATAAATATTTAGAATCTTAAAATATAATACAAATAATATCGATTCGTTTATTATTTTATTAAATTTATCAGCGTTTAATTTTTAATATGAAATTAAAACTATTAAGATAAAGAAGTATTTATTTGTAAAAATTAAAATCACTTTGCTATTACATGAAGAAATATTTATTTATATAAGAAGATTGTTGTATACAATAATAGACAAAATGTGCAAGAAAATTTGGTGTATTTATTGCGTAACTTAAAATTATGTCATATGAAACTATTCTACTTTTTCTAACATATCCAATATCAACATTTGGTTTTCTAAGTCATTAAGTTTATCTTCAGAAAAATCTGCACGTACATTATCAAGTTTTGCTTTATAATCTTCATTGAACACTGTTTTATCATTTTTTTTATTAACTGTATCATTTGTGTTCTCTTCTTTAGAATCAAAACTATCTTTTTCTATATTTGCATTGTCATGATCATTGTTTGAAAATAAATTTAAAGTAAATGGTCTCGTATATGTAGTTTCTTCAGTCCCCAATTGAATAGCCAACATTCCTAGTTCTGCTTTTGCACCACAATTTTTTAAACAGTCTTCATTTTCTGCCTTCTGTATTAACTTTGACGTTTCACAAGACATCGCGTACCTATGTGATATTTATTGAACATATTTCTATTACAGTAACGAGTAAAAGTATTTTTATTTTTTACTTACATGTTTTTACCTAGTAGAGTACCACGTTCACCATAAAGATTAAAAGAACCATCAGAAGAGGTTTTACGGTGCATGTCACGCAATTTCATGTCAGAAAAATCACTTTTGTTTTCTTCGTATTTTTCGTCATATTCTCGAGACGTTATATTAAAGCTACCATCATCGTTTTGCAATCCAAACCTAAGAAGAATAGACACCCTTACGCAATATAATTCTAATTCTTTTAAACAGTCACATCTAATATTCCAGACTTCGTCACAAGTTAAATCCTCGTATATCTATGTAACGAATAATGAGCTATTTATGAAAATTCAATTTAGGTACATTATCTGATCAAAATATAATATGCTTACATCAATTATCATCTGATGTAGCATTCCAAGGCATCGTTGTGTGGTTGAATTGTTGACCATATCGCGCATCGCATCTGTGTGATTTAATGTTAATAGGATAACTTCTTTAGGGCCAGTAGCTGCAGTTAATTGATATTTAACCATCATGATCATGAGATCAAATAGTTTATCCATGCTATTTGTATCAAGCTTCACAATAGATGATAATACAACACCCTCTAAAGTGGACCTTAGAGCAGGCATCCCACTTAAAGAACCTTCCTCAAATATAGAAGATAGTATTTTAGGATTAAGTAAGGCAGTGGTTACACCTTCAAGTACTAAAAATGAAATAAAAGTTTTATTAAATTGATCTGTGGCATTAAACAAACTTGTAAGAAATGTTGTAGTTATTATAAAAGAATAGTAAACTTGCCTTGTACAGATTTATCAGCACTAATCTTTTGCGCTTTTAATCTTTGTTGTAAAACATATAACATTTCACCACCCATATTTAAATAAAGAATTGGTGTCACGTAGTTCGACATTTTTCTATGAATTTCTTAACGTTTTTACTTTCACCAAAAACGGAAACTTTTGATCGTTGAGTACACGTAATAATGTCTCTATTCATACTGTTGTCTTGACAACAATAGTATACATAAAACTAATTGACGCAGACATTTAGAGACTGCGCGATATTTCACCCTTTGTAGCGGTGAACAACCATTTTTATAATTGTAAATCTTACGTGTAAATAATATTATCAAAAAAAAATTTTCAATATTTTACAATAATCAGTACAATATTATTTTTATAATTAATTTATTTCTCAAAACACATTAATATTTTTAATCGCAGTAAGTTATAATTGTATACATTAACTAGGAAAAACTTCTAACTTATAACAATGAATAATTTAATAGTCTCAACAAATACAATACTTAGCGAATAATGAAATTTGAAATAACAATTTTTAATTTCCTTACCCCGGTCCATAACTTAACAATATAGACATTTGTATATAACTATACAAATTATTATATTTGGAATGAAAGACATTTTCATAATCGCGGCTTTTATTTTATAACTTCATAAAAATATTTTTAAAGAGAAAAAAGAATGGTTGTCTTCTGCACTATCTATTAAACAAATATTGAACAATTAATGATAATAGCTGCTTTTGTAATAGTACAAATAACAGTAACATTATTCAGTTATAAAATAATACAATTGGACGGTTATATGTAACAAAAGATGTGTTTCGCGTTTTTACAAAAATTCTTAAATCTACATTGAAAATTGGCTCAGTTAAGTGGAACGGTTTAAATTGTAGAAATAATTTAGTAGCCATTTTCCTTCAGTTTTTTTATCAATTATTAATTACTCATGTATGAAGATTCTTCTCTAACAAAATATGCCATGCATATTTATCAGTCTAATATTAATCTATAATATGTATACTCTATTGCACAGGTATATCCTTATTTCAATTTGTTCTTTTATTATTCCGCATTTTATATCATTTTAAGTACTATTTTACAGTATTATGCAATAACTGTTAATGACACCATTACATTATTCATAATTTTTTGAATACATAAATTCCGTGATCGAAGTCAATGTAAAAAATAAAAATAACATAATTAAAATAACACACAAGTTTTTACATAGTCATAAATGTTTTTAAGTATGTATAAATGTGTAAAAAAAAATAATGTGACAAAAGTCAAATACTCTATGCAATCGTACTTAATAATCCCCTGAAAAATCCTTAAAGGCATTGTTAAAAAAATTTGCAAATACCCTGTACACATGTTTTATGCAATTGTATAACATTCTACTGTATAAATTATTGCACATTTGAAATATCAGGCTTTGACAAATGTCAAACTTAAGTTTAATGAAATGTGAGTAATATTACAGTTAAATAAAAATCATTTAATATTTAAGAAAAAATATTTAATTCGGCATGAAATTGATTTGATTGTATGCCTTATACAGGATGGTGTATTTAAATAGAAACACTTAAATATCTGTTATTTATAGTCGCATGAAAACATTTCTTATGCCAATGTTAAACTATTTTATGGAACACATATAATGACAGAATATTTTTTTCTCAAGATCATTTTTGAAGTCAACTTCGTGTTTTTAAATGGTCATTGTAAAAATCTATTTACGTTAAAAAGGCATTAGTTTACGATATATTAACACTTAACGGACGGGCCACGTATATTTACATTTTAAATATACCTTAAATATACCCGGAAACTAGGAAAGACAGGGTAGATTCCACCTGTCCGCTAAGTATTAATTGCAATACTGTAAAGTGGTCAATCAATGGTACAGTACTTATTTTCTTAAAGTTGATATTTAAACATATACATATGCTATAGCTTGAATGCAAAGATTTACTGTATATTAAAATTAAAATATCCATAAGAATAATTACTTTTTTATATGAAAATTTTAATGGCCTTTTGAGGATGAAGATTTATGTCAATTAATGCATTAAAAAATATATGATTCTAAGTTAATCTTAAAACATTATTTAAGTAAATATTACCTTGAGAAAAAATGTTTGTCCAAAGTCGTTATGTATATAAAGAATTTTGAAGTATTTTTATTTAAATGTGCCATGCTGTATATGTAAAGTGTAATGTAAATAATGTCATGTTACCTTACAATTTGCAGAAAATTTTCAAGTACACATATGTATCAGTCCTATAATTTTTTAAATAAATTAGCATAAAAGAAATTACTTGGTTTGTAATCTCACTTGCGCAAATGCAAATAATAAATAACCTTACTTTTAATATGTTTTAACACATTATATTATCAATGTAACAAATATAAAGTTTGTTCGAAGAATGCAAAATTAATTTCTTTTGATTTTTAAACTCTTCACTTGAAATAGGTAAATACGTTGCTTTGCTTTCAGAAGACTCTTTTATAATACATGGGGGTAATGAATTTTTTTCACTCCTCATAGAAATATCACAATCGTTTCTTATTATTTTATGTATATACCTGATCCTCCATTTACACGGACTCTTTTTACGTGAGTCTTTTTTTTTACTCGGTAAATTAGAAAACTATTTACGCGGTAGTTTTTAAGCACGGTTTGAATTTAATAACACCGAATAAAATGTATGTTTTTTTTCTGAAATGTTATTATTATTTATTATTTATTTTGTTTGGCTATTTATTCGCGTAAAACGAATCCACGTGGAACGGATTTTCCGGTAAATCGAGGGTCAGGTGTATATATGTATATGTATATATGTATATATTGTATATACATATTTATATACCTTTCTTCTTAAGAAACTTCTGGGAGTTACATTGTTTGGTTTAGTTCAAGTAATAATAATGATCAAATCAGTAATATTTCGGAATTTTTTAAAACATGTTTCTAATTGAAGTTTCTCATTTCACGAAAGTATTATAACTTACGATTTTACTTATAAGTTATATGTCCAAGTACCTTTCGCCGATTGAATATATCGAAGTGGTACAATTGTATTCCTAACGTCGGGGCTTTTCGACCTTCTTACACAATCTTGGCTTAAAACTCTACATCCCGGACTCAAAGTTAAACCAGTGTATCCACGAGGAATACTGTCGCTACTTGCCACTCTTCTAACATCATTGGTTTTTCTTTCTTCGTAATTACTTACAGACATTAAATTATCCGGCACAGAATCTCTCAGCTTGTACGCAGATTGGTTATTCCCAAAATACCTTGGGCTTGGGTCTATCGATACATTTTTTGGACTTCGTATGGAACTGGCGTCGGCGGATCCATTGCGACGAATTTGTCGTTTTTCAATGGTATCATCGATTAAATGTCGATCACATGTCTGATGACTGAGATTGGAATTTGCATCATTGTCAACGCACTGGCAAGGCATTACCGTAGAATCAAGAGAATCTGAAAATTCTGGACTCGGGATTGAAGATACACTGCCCATTTGAGAGATGACAACCGTCCCCTGAGGGTTTTGGGGACGGTGTCAGAAACATCATTCCTCTAATTCATCCATTCGATTTCTAACAGCCATTTCTACCACTTCCAAGCTTGGATAGTCAAGCTCTTTAACTAAGCATAACACAGCTGATAGTATATTTGAGTTCTATAATCAAAAAGTGAATAATGCATTACTTGTTCGTCGGTATGTTACCAAATTTAACAAAAACTTACCCTTGTAACAGGCCTTCTGTGATAATGAAATTGTGATCTACATTTTTCTTTGTCAGAATGTCTTACCCATCCAGGCATTTGGTTTGTGTCTTCCTGTAATTATACAAAATTATTTTCTCTTATATTAATTTGTACACAAATGAATTCAAATAATTTGCAATTTTATTTCTAACCCTCTCAACATTTTGATGAACCGTCATTCTTCTAGGTTGAAGCGGTGGTTGTTGTTCTTCATATTCTGCATTTATCCTCTGTTCATGGTGCTCTTCGTATTCTGGTTTGTGTCTGTTATCATATTCATAATTATTTCTATCTGAACGTCTATCGTCCATTGGTTCATTCAAAGAGTATTGTGTACGTGGAGACGTTGGTGCGTATGCTCGTTGAGATGTTTCATTGTTACTATATTCCGTATAAGTTCGTCTTTCATCATATTCTCCATTATGTCTTGAAACCGCTGGTCGTTCATCATATTCCTAAAAATTATAAAAAACACAATGAAATTTCTGTATATGCATTTAAAACCAATAATCACATTTATTCGTAGTTTATTTTTGTAAAATAAAGCAAGTACCATAGAAGTATTTAATTTTTAATTTTACATTTCATTTGAATGCTTTAAATACATTACTATGTAACATAGCGTACACGTAATAATTCGCCAGGAACAGAATACATTTAATTATCAAAAGTAGATAATTAAAAGTCAACGTTTTTGGTGAATTATCCTATATACATATGTTAATTGTCAATGTCGTTATACGTAATCTACTTGCTAGAGAAAACTACGTTAAAGTAAAGTAACTGCTCTAATTGAGATACATTAATATAAATATAATTGATGAATATACAAGAACTATCAAGGTAACACTAAAGAAACTATCACGTTGCAAAAAATTCTGCAATTCTGTAAAATATACCTTAATGATTTCAATAGTGTTAGTGGTCATACTTTCACTGATGTTGCGTGACTCTGTACATACAGTGTCATCTTTGTTGTGACTCTTTGACTGTCCATTCTGTTGCTGTTAGTATACGAATGCAGATAAAAGGAGCAATGATATAATCAAGCTTATTTATTAAATATCAAGTTAGTTGATTGTTCTGCTTGGTAATTACTAAGTAAAAGAGTAAGTATCACACTAAATCTAACATAAATATAACGCTAATTATATAATAATTATATCTCTATAGCAAATAATTATAATTCTAAATACGTTGATCATAATTTCATTTCTTATAATTTTAAACAACAGAACATGTTAACGCATTCGCGACCGGCAGATTTTTCGGTTTTCTAATACTCATTGTTAGTGAAAATGAAAAAAATCTTAAGCTAATTGCCACAAATTTCTGATTTTAAAACAAGAACAAAAAATCGAAAATTTGTTTTAAAATATTAAGTCTTGTAACGATCTATTACTTGAAAATTATTATATTTGAAAAAACGTGAATTCACGTCAACGGTCGCGAACGCGTTAAGATGGAAATATTTTCATGCAAGATATTTATGTATGTACATAATAATTGGTTGACTTACATCATACGTATACTGATTAATTTGTGAATAGCGATGGGATGGTGAAGCATTATAGTTTGCATTTCTACGATCTGATTCATGATATTCTTCTTGAGTATGCTGTGTCTCTTCAAAACTTCTCTATAAACAATTGTCAAAGTAAGAAATTATCCTTATATAACATAAAAATATAATAGATACTATGATATATATGTTCATGAGAGTAAATGAAAAATATGATTATAACAGCTTTGAAAAATTATTATAAAGGAAATTATAATAGCCGGCGATAGTTTAAATTTTTTATTACCTGATCACTTGAGGAACTATATCTTCGATGATGTATCACTTCTGTTTCTTCGATATATTCAGTGACAATATCCTAATTGCGTAAATGTTATTGAAATGTTAGGATGTTTGTTAAGGACATATTAACATGATAACATATGTTTCAATAAACTTATTTTAGTAACAGTAAATAAAATTCAAACTGTATTGATGAAAACTGAAATGGTTAATCTTGAAATATATAATTATTTAATGTGTATCACCTTCGTATTATGAAACTCCCAGGTATAAACTCTCAGTTCTTATCAATAGTAGCAAGTGATCACTAATGATCGGTAAATGATATATATTAATAATAAAGTCAAGTGAATGTTTTAAATAAAATATTTGATGATAAAATACTTGAAAATGTTTTATAAGAATGCATAGAAAAATATTGTTTTAAGAGCAATCTTACTTCTGGACTGACTGCATCTGATTGAGGTGGAGATGCATCAGTATCAAGAGGATGAACTAGAATATGACCTCGTGTTAATGCTGTTTGTACTTCTTCTGCTGAAACTACCTTGTCATCAAGTTTTTGTAAATTTGGTAGAGCTCTAAGAACTGCTAATCGATACCTAATAAAAATTTTTTGATTAAAACTCTGCTACGAAGTTGGTATGTTAATTGTTAATGCAAAATACATTACCCTTCTTTCTCAGCACAAGGATTTTCGCCAAGCCATAAATTTCGTAGATTTGGTAAACCTTGAAGATAACAAACTTCATTCAAGTCTTTAATATTATTCTTCCTTATAAACAAATCTTGAAGACTTAGACAATATTGGAAATCGGCAAGAGTACTAATATTGTTCACACTGAAAATGAATTTGAATAATAAAAATTATACTTATTATGTTAAGAATCATCACATAAAATATAATTAGGTAATACACATACATGACTTGAATTTTGTAACAAAATTGGAAAATATAAAATTTCATGTACACACGCACATAGATTACATTGAAATATAATTGTTGTTCAAATTATACTTAAAATAGGAAAAAATATTTGTATGAATTACATACATAAAAATGATACAACATTGTACCCTATATTACTTCCACTAATTGTAATAAAATCTATTAACTCAATTAAAATTTTTATAACAGCTTTTATATAATTATATATCTATTATTGTTTTCAAATAAAAATATAAAATATTTTATATAGTTAAAGGTAAAATTTGAATTCTTTTTCCCTCATCACAGCAAGATATATTACAATGAATTCAAAATGTGTGGGTAGAACAACTTCTTCATAAGTAGGTTGTTCTTGTGATCTTGAGTTTTTCACAGACCTGTCCATAGTAGGAGTGCATTAGAGTTTCTGTGATATGTAAACAGATTTGAGAAACTTAAATCATCACTATAAATAATAAAACTCTTTTGATTCAATTTTACTATAAAATTATATCTGTAATGTTATTTTTACTAAGCAAATTATTATGAAAAAGAAAACTGTAATTTTATACATTTCTACTTATTTAATTATTTATTTTAATCATTTACCTTAATGACAATACTTCCACATTTTTCATTTTCCTTAAAATACTCACATCAGTCAATTCTGTGCCCCTAGAATAACAAGAAGTTTATGTAAAATTATAAACATAAAACTGTACAAGTTATATATAAAATTATAAAACTGTTTTATACAAAAACATAATAATTTATATTTGCTATACTTCAAAGCTTATTCTATACATTTCAAACATTAAATTCATTATTTAAATGTCACTTTCATTTAATGAAGGAAATAATAACAGTAACATTGAATAACTAAAAGAATTTTACAAAATAATAATAAAAGTAAAAAAGCGTTTCAGAGAATAGTTTCTTTAATAAGGATATCTTAAAGAAAACTGTAAATTCATATAGCTGCATTTATTACAAAAAATACTCAAAATATTGAACTTGTCAATTTGATACTTTTATCTGTATAAATCGGCTAGCAATTATAGAAAATGGAACATCTTGTTTGAAAAGTGTAACATCTTTTCAAATACGCACCAACAATTAAGTTTCTTTACAGCAGAGAAATCGGACACTCGTGTCCGAGCCACGACCATCTCCTCCGTTAATTTTACCATAACGAAATTTATAATTTATACGAAAATAACAGTAACAAAGCAATGTGAAGAGATCCTGAGGGATGTTAAAAATAATTACGAGAAAAATCTTTTTCAGACCATCACAATGAATTTTTCAACTGTAAATTAAAGGCGCAACTAAAACCCATCGCCATGATGGTTTGTCGTTGACTAATTGAAAAATATGGTATGAAGCTTTCACAAAATATACTTGATCGTTTTCCGCGAAATACGCATGTGTGATGCACCGTTAACAATAGACATAGTACAGATATGAAACTTAGTTGACTAATCTATAGTATATACCGTACTGTTTGATTGCGTCTTACAATTCATCTTTTAAACGAATTAATGAATAATTTAAAATCTAAAAAGCATACGCAACAAGAAAGTATAAATAATATAAATATATAATATAACAAGTTGAGTTGCCATCTTTTTTAAATACAATTATATATATTATTTTCTCTAATATTCTCGTTAAGAACAAAAAGTATATTTTTTTTTAATTTTTGAATGCTTTTCTCATTTAGAGAAATATAATAAAAATATTTAGTCCACATTTTGAGCTAAGAAAAACTTTTCCCACTTTATTATTACACTTTGCTGAGTTGTAAAAATTTAAATTTGTGATAATGACATATATAAAACAACAAAATCGTTTTCTTCTGAATAATTCCTAAGCTATATGTATTCCGATCTATATATTTTCATTGTTTCTAGGCTTTCAACATAACCCGTTTCGGAAGTTTGTTCTTGCTGTCGTGATATACCCTGTTTTCTGTATTGTAGTTTAAGAAACGAAGTGGTGAATGAATGTTGATAACAGTAATTACATGATAGCACGCGTCAAAACCTATAAGGGTGCAAATACAAAGATCTGATGGTCATTTGATTCCTATAAAAGTGTACATGACTCCTGACAGTAAGAAAATGCAGAAGGTTGGAAAATTGAATCCGTCGATTGATATCATCCCGCTACAGGGATCTAGCGGAGATTCAAAATCAAAAGCTATGAATAATAAACGCAAAGTTGATATTTCTCATAGATATCTTCGGGATCAAGTACTAATTTCACGTGTACAAACGGTAAACGATTAATTTCCTTCATTTCAAATTTTCTTAGATAGCTACATACAGAAAACTGATATATTCATAACATGCACTTCGTATTATAAATTTGTGTTTAATGTTTCAAATGTATAATGAAATAATCTTGAAAAAAATTAAAAATATTTAAGTGTATCTAAATATAAAACATTTATTACGTTTTATATACTAAGTGTAAATTATACTTAACATTATTTCAAATGTGGCGAATTAGATTTCAGTTTAAGCATTTGTCGTAATTTATTATTCAACCATAAGAATTTACAATTGAAATGGTATTTCAAATAAAATTTCTTCATGTTGTTTTTAATTTTTAGTATATGCACGAAAATGAAAACAAAGTTTATATTGATGTTATTGAAATGGCAAATGCTTTGCAAAGAAAATACCGTGATTATCGTATAAAAAAACAGGGCCCTTTCAGAGCTCTGGTACGCAAAGCATACGACGAACTAACAGAAATGTTTGCGAAAAAGCATTGTCCTTCTGAATGGCCTGGTTATGATGACGAAGACGAAGAGGAAGAAGTTGACATTGAAGTATTTGAGACATATACGTAATTTGAGTCTTATTTTCAATAGCATATCTAAAAGGAAATATGTTGATTTTAGTCAGATCCTCAGAATACCATGTTGGATGGTATGTTATTAAAAATGTATAAAAAATCACAAAACAAACAAAATGGAAATTCTAGCGACAAAGAACTAATAGATATCAGTAGTGATGATGATGCTAGTAAAGTGGATTCAAATACATATAATAAGACAGATGAACCCGAGGTCGCAGATAAAAGTATACAGCAGAAACCGGGTCCATCTTTGCACGTAGAAAAACCTGTGCCTCCTAAAGAAATTGAACAGAGAAAAACAGTAAATTTTTATTTACATTTATGCAGTTCATATAAGTGTGTATTATATATTAAAATATTGTAATGTTTTATTTGTAGCCTACAAAAGAAGCACGACAAATTACAGAAACACGACAAAGTAATGCAGAAGTTGAACCATTTAATAGAAAAAGGCAACGCGATAAAGACATTGATAATAATCAATTTATGTTTACAAAAAAACCCAAAGGAGTACCTATTTCAGAATCAAAAGTTACATTTACCGACATAGGAGGATGTGATAAAATTTTAAAAACTGTTTGTAAACTACTGGCTCATATAAAACATCCAGAAATTTTTAAACAACTTGGTATATCACCCCCAAGAGGATTTTTGCTTCATGGCCCACCTGGATGTGGAAAGACATTACTGGCATATGCTATTGCAGGAGTAAGATTTGATTATAAATTATCATATTTCGCTGTTTGTTTTATTACTAACTTTTTATCTCAAATATAGGAGTTAGGAATACCTTTACTAAAAGTAGCAGCACCTGAACTTGTAGCTGGAGTTTCAGGGGAAAGCGAAGCACGGATTAGGGATTTATTTGAACAAGCTCTTGCCATTTCACCATGTGTAATCTTTTTGGATGAAATTGATGCTGTTGCACCACATAGAGCTACTGCTCAGAGGGAAATGGAAAGAAGAATTGTTGCACAACTGTTATCATGTTTAGATGGTAAATTGTTATTGTTATTCAGTCATATTTATTATACCAACCTAAATGATAGTTTTCTAAGAGTGGTGTCTTATTATACAGAATTAAGTTTAAAAGAGAATGGTACTGGAGTATTAGTGCTTGGAGCTACAAATCGGCCTGATTCTTTGGATCCAGCATTAAGAAGAGCAGGTCGCTTTGATCATGAAGTGTGTCTTGGTATACCAGATAGGGATGCAAGAACAAAAATTTTAACTGTACACACAGAAAAAGTAGCACTTGCTCCCAATGTTAGTTTATCTACAATAGCTTCGCTAACGCCAGGTTTTGTTGGAGCTGATTTAGTTGCATTAATTAGAGAAGCTGCTATGGCAGCTGTAGACAGGTAACTTGCTTAAACATTTTCTGTGAATATAAAGGAATAATGTTTTGTATGCGATGAACAGTAATATTACTTACATTGTTTCTATTAGAATACTTGAAAACGTAAATAAATCAGAACCAGATATTAAATCAGAAACGAGAGAAGATGATCCCCCCACTGAAAAGGAAAACTTTGAAAACACTGGCAACTTAGATGAAGAAGTAACTATTGAGTCGCCTTCTTCGAATCACAACAATATCCCCAAATTAAACAAAACAAGTAACCCTACAAGTCCTCAAGCACTAATTGAGATGGATGTGACACAAGAAAATTCAAAATCTCCAGACTTGGCAGCATTACTTACTTGGTTACGTAATGATCCACCACTTTCCTCAGAACGATTAAAAACTCTATATATTGAACACAGTGATTTTGAAACTGCTCTTCGCGTTATTCAGCCATCTGCGAAAAGAGAAGGCTTTGCAACTGTACCTGATGTTACATGGGATAATGTTGGTTCTTTAAGAGACATTAGAGAGGAATTACAGATGGCCATACTTGTAAGTATGCTTAAATAATTTTCATTGAATTCGTGAAGAATTTTTTATACGTTTCAATAGATCGTATATCTTTTTTTACGTTTCGTTTTTCTTGTTTAATTTAAAATTTTAGGCTCCGGTTCGACATTCCGAACATTTTACAGCCTTAGGATTAACAACACCTACTGGAGTATTATTATGCGGTCCACCTGGATGTGGTAAAACATTGCTAGCCAAAGCAATTGCGAATGAAGCTGGTATCAACTTTATTTCTGTTAAAGGGCCAGAACTTTTGAATATGGTAATTAATTTAATCATCGGAACAAATGTTTTGTAACAAAGTACAGGTGTTAAACATATATTTGCTTTTCTTCTAGTATGTTGGCGAAAGTGAAAAAGCAGTCCGGCAATGCTTCATGAGAGCACGAAATTCAGCTCCGTGTGTTATATTCTTTGATGAGTTGGATGCTTTGTGCCCAAGACGATCAGATGGTGATAACTCCGCTACATCGCGCGTAGTTAATCAAATGCTTACGGAAATGGATGGAGTAGAAGGACGTCAGGGAGTATTTTTAATGGCTGCTAGTAATAGACCTGATATTATTGATCCAGCAGTTTTGAGACCAGGAAGATTAGATAAAATTTTATATGTAGATCTACCTACTGCAGCAGATCGTGTTGATATTTTGAGAGCATTGACAAAGGTATTTTGTGCATCATATATATATAAGGTCTTTGATTCGTGTTGTGTTACCGAAAATTTATATTTCTAGAATGCAACTAAACCAAAATTAGCTGCGGATGTAAATTTGGAACAAATAGGATATAACAGCAAATGTGATGGTTATACTGGGGCAGATTTAGCAGCTTTAATCAGAGAAGCTGGTATAGAAGCTCTGAGAGAATTAATGGACATACATTATACAGGACAACCAGAAATTTCTATGCGACACATTTTATCCGCATTTGATAAGATAAGACCATCTGTACAGGAAAAGGTATACATATTTCCAGTTATTCTTAATGTGCAAAGTTTATGTGCAAATGTGATATTAAGTTAACAAATTATAACTTATAGGACATAAAACATTATGAAAAGTTGAAGAAATTGTATTCGATTAAAAAGAAATCTGACGATAGTCCAATGGAAACTCCAACGGATGCAGTTATAGTAGATGTAGTGATGGAACCTATGGAAACGTGAAATAAAAATATAATATAATGTATGTAACAATCTTCCATTATAAGATACTCTTTGAAATTAATAACAATGAAATAAGGATTGTACACACTGTACGCTTTGACTTTATTTTTATAGTCAAAGCATTCTTATCTTTACTGTGCGAAAATGTAGTTATAATGTTAAACCTTGGTTGACCATTTTAAAATAAGAATTAAAATCTATATTTTATTCTTTATTTTTTGGTACTCTTTCGTAAATAAAAGAAATTATGTTCAACATACTCTCGAGCAATTTACATAATCATTTCCACTATTTAAAAAAATAAAAACAAAGAATTGTACACATTTTGTAATTGAATAGCACAATTTTATTAACAATAAATAATTGACTGACATATCTTCTTAGAATACAAAATTTGATCTACATAATTTTAATAAAAGAAGTAGAACAAAAATTAATTGTAACATAGTATATTTTTACTTCTATATCATTTTGGTTGATAAAACTACATTAGAAAAAAGGAAAAAGAATTGTTCATAATTTAATTTCTGTTTATTGTATTTCGTTTATAATAATATTCATTTATTTAAATATATACTATCGATTAATCATAATCTTATTATTAAACAAATGTAATTATACACAATTTTCTCATGCATTATACTTTCTTTATTTCAAATAGTTATCTTATTATCAACATATACATATACAGTACCCTAACCAGTTAAATTTTAGTCTAATGCAAGTAAAATGCAGAACTTCAATTTAACATTAAATTTTCAGAAACTTATGTGCCAATAAACTCTCATTTTAAAGAGTAATGGTCCCAGTAAATAAAAATAAAATCATAAAATACATGACCTACGGAATGTATTGTATAGAATCTTATTTAAAAATATTCCATTGATTTCATTTATAAAATACGTGTATGAGGAGTACTGTAAGAAATATGAAACACTTAACTGTTTTTCTTTCTTTACTCATTACAAATTATTCTGTAATTGCAGTCACAGCAATGTTTAGATTTTCATTTCATACACGTGGACATAAAACAGTATTTATTAGAACCAACTAATTCAATACTGAACAATGTGGTTCAGTAGTTCGATTTTGTACAATCCAAGTATGTTTTAAAACATTTTCTAAAGGCAGTCTTCGATCTGGATCAACAACTAACAACTAAAAAGAAACATGTTTAATATTATAAAGTGATAAAAAAATATTTACTGTTATCAGTAAATACATAGTATGAAAGAATTTCTTACTTTGGATATCAAGTTTCTAGCATCTTCACTGACATAATCTGGAAATTTATACTGAGCTTTTTTGATCTTCATATATGTTTCTTCATAAGTTTTAGCTAAAAATGGTGGAGTACCAACTAAACATTCGTAACATAAAACACCAAGACCCCATAAATCTACAGTATGATCGTGTGTTTTTCCAACAACCATTTCAGGTGGCAAATAATCTAATGTCCCGCATAAAGTGTTTCTTCTGGAAGAAGGGGCATGAACAGACCAACCAAAATCTGCCATTTTTAATTCACCCTTTATTCCAAGCAATAAATTCTCCGGTTTAATATCACGATGTATGACTTTCTTACTATGACAGTATCTCAAAGCATCTGCTAATTGAGATATATATGTAGCTGTTCTAACTTCATCAAAACGCTTTTCTGGTTGAGCGTTTAATTCTTTAAATAATTCCCCATTTGGGGCATATTCTAAAATTAGGTACACTCTCTTATCATCATGGAAATAACCATACATTTTCAATATGTTTGGGTGTCTATATTAAAGAAAAAAATGAATTATTATTAATATGAAAATATTTAAATATATTACCTTAATTTTACTATTAACACTATATTTATGGATATTCATTTTACACTTTATTCTATTGTTCCTAAAACACTAGATGCTTGTTTATATAGATTGCACAAATCAAAATCGATTTCAACTATTACCAAATAGTGTTTAAAAAATTCAATATCCATCAAATTGACAAGTTCCATAAATCTAGTGTTAAATTAAATATATTATCATTAATTTACTATAATACTACTATTGTTAATTAAAACTATTCAGGTACGTAAAATTAAATGTGCAATAGAATACTTTTGTAATATTAACATTTCTATAATCAAAAAAAGTTTTAAATTTAAATCTATATAATTTCATACCTCAGATGTGTTTGAATTTCTATTTCTCTTCTAACTTGATGTTCTACATCAGCTTTTTGTATTTGCGCCTTAAATAACACTTTCATAGCAATAATAAATTTTGATTTCTTTTCTCTAGCTAAATAAACATTACCAAACTTCCCTTTTCCTAATGGACGCCCAATATCAAAATCTGTTAAAACCCATTTCTTCTCGCTTTGATTTTTATTCTTAACATTGTATTGGTCTTCATTCTTGTCTGTGTGAATGTCTTTAATATTCCTGTTCTCCTTATCATTTTCTTTGTCACTGTTATCTTGTATAGATACAACTGTTTTAGAAGACAAAGGTAGTTTTGGTGGCGGCATCAGTTCTGTAGATTTGTTTATACGGCTTTCTTTTGGTTTATTATTCGCTAAATAAGTATTATGTTCGTTTGTGGATGTGGTTATAGTTTCTGAATTATTTACTGAACTTTCACTGGAAGCAGGCGATGCCTTAGATATTCGTAATTGTTTAAAATTGTTATGCATTTGTGATATCACTTGATTAAGAGTTTTGTTTATCCTTAAGCATCACCGAATACACTATGTATTAGCTATAATTAAAAAAGATGAAAATCGTATATTGAAATTTATTAAAAAATAATTAGTTAATAAATGAAAAAATTAAATATCTAACATTATTTTACTCTATAAGATCATAAGTCATCTTACTAGATATACAAATTTTATACGAAATATCATAGTATGAAAGATATTTACACTGAAACAATAGAAGAATTCGCGTTTTTCGAACCATAAACTTAAAAATTACTTACATGAGTATCTTTTTTATTCAAGAAACCAGTAAAATTAATATTTATTATATATTAGTAGATATATTTTAAAATATTGAAGCAGGACAATCTATGAAACACTCACGGAACAAAAGAAAATATGATTCCTGCCAAAAATGTCCTGTTACTATTCCTGTTTCAATTCAAAATAACGAATATCCACGCTCTGTTGCGATTGGTTACAAAGAAGGAATTACCAACCATAACGTAAAAATAACAAGATTGTTTACTCCATTCAGAACTAGATTTCTTTATGGTTTAGTAACATAAGTATCATAAGATACCTAGTACCTACCTAGTAAGGTATCTACTTACTATTTAAATACAATAAAATTATCATTCTAACAATATGTTAAATTATGAATATACATACAGATTTCTATAGTATCAACGATATATTTATATTATATTTAAGTGCAATATTTCACTTTAAAAAGTAGCTGCATTTTTTCAAGAATTGAAAATACTGTCAAAGTTGAAACTATTTAGATTAGAGACCTCTAGATTATATTATAATATTTTGTTATAAACAAGAATTATCTGGTAAAAGTGAAATAGAAATATCAGGAATGGAAAAATAGTTTAATTACTTCTAAATTATACTAATTACAGAATTATGTTCTATATAAGCAATTAAGTAGTCAATGAATTATTATGTACAGGATTATTTTTCAGATATAATAAAATAAAATTACTTTTATAATATGTAATCAAAGACATTTCTATGAAATACAGAGACAGTTCTAATATCTAATATAGTTTTGTGAATTAATTTTTTTAGGGTGCTTTTTTATTACCAACAATGTTACCAACAGAGTATTGATAACAGTGAATGAAAATGTACTCTTTCTTCACACTAAGAAAATGAACTCAGAAGTCACGGTGCTGCAGTATTGTGCATCGTACACCATTGAATATTCCCATATATGAGAGAGTTCTTATTTCAATAAAATTCCATGTACATTTCTTGAACAGAAGATACCACAGAACATATCAAAAATTTAATATTTTAAAGTTATTATATTTACTAAAATAAATGGCTACTCTTGAGGATAAATCAATTTGGGAAGATGGAGAGGTAAAGTATAAATTTATTTTATAGAGGTTATGATGGAATGACAAGCAAATATAAATGGATGCGAAACTAATATAATTTAAAATTATTTTTTATCTAATCACTTTTAATGTTAAATTTTATACACAAAGATATTTCTACAATTTAGAAATGTTTTTTAAAATACTTTAGTAGTGTAAATTAAAACTTGTATATACAGGATATATATTCTGATTAATTTCTGAAAAACAACATATTTTGTCTAAACATTGTAAACAAGTATATCATCAGTACCGATTGATATCAAAACTCAATAAACCATACTGAAAAACTTCGTAATAATATAAGAAAAATTTAACATAAAAAATTATACATTTTTAAAACATCTTTATTAAAGGTAATGTAATAGCAGAACTTAGATATATATTCTTTTTAGGAGTCTTTGGGAGAGGATGTTTTAAGAATGTCCATTGATGAAATTGTATCTCGTACGCGTCTATTAGATAATGAAATAAAAATTATGAAAAGTGAAGTAATGCGTATTTCTCATGAACTTCAAGCACAAAATGACAAGATTAAGGAAAATACTGAAAAAATTAAAGTGAATAAAACTTTACCTTACCTAGTATCTAATGTCATAGAGTTGTTAGATGTAGATCCTCAAGATATGGGAGAAGAGGATGGCGCAGTTGTTGATTTAGATGCACAGCGTAAAGGAAAATGTGCGGTTATTAAAACCTCTACTAGGCAAACATATTTTCTCCCTGTAATAGGTTTAGTTGATGCTGAAGCCTTAAAGCCAGGTGATCTGGTGGGTGTTAATAAAGACAGCTATTTAGTTCTTGAAACTTTACCCGCTGAATATGATGCAAGAGTCAAAGCTATGGAAGTAGATGAAAGACCAACAGAACAATATTCAGATATTGGTGGTCTAGACAAACAAATTCAAGAATTGATTGAAGCTGTTGTCTTACCTATGACACATAAAGCAAAGTTTGAAAACCTTGGTATTCAACCTCCGAAGGGAGTACTTTTATATGGACCACCAGGAACTGGAAAGACTTTATTGGCTAGAGCTTGTGCTGCACAAACAAAATCCACTTTCTTGAAGTTAGCAGGTCCACAACTGGTTCAAATGTTTATTGGAGATGGTGCAAAATTAGTAAGGGATGCATTTTCACTCGCAAAAGAAAAAGCACCAGCAATTATTTTCATCGATGAACTGGATGCAATTGGCACAAAACGATTTGACTCTGAGAAAGCTGGTGACAGAGAAGTACAACGTACTATGTTAGAGTTGCTGAATCAATTAGATGGTTTCAGTTCAACTGCAAATATTAAAGTGATAGCAGCTACAAACAGAGTCGATATCTTAGATCCAGCTTTATTGAGATCTGGTCGTTTAGACAGGAAGATAGAGTTTCCTCATCCTAATGAAGAAGCTAGAGCACGTATAATGCAGATTCATTCCAGAAAAATGAACATGTCTCCAGATGTAAACTTTGAAGAATTGTCACGATCGACGGAAGATTTTAATGGCGCCCAGTGTAAAGCTGTTTGTGTAGAAGCGGTATGTAAAATAGGAACGTAAAATAATAGTAGTGTAAATAAATTTGTATTTAATTTCTTATTGTTTTTTATAGGGTATGATAGCATTGAGACGTAATGCGACTGCAGTCACACATGAGGACTTAATGGAAGCTATTAACGAAGTGCAAGCCAAGAAGAAAGCTAATCTCAATTATTACGCTTAATATAATTTGTTCAATAACTTATTTAATAAGATATTTTCAATAATGATTAAGATCAGAGATTACAAAATTGCAAAAATTTCATATATACATGTACGTTTGTAAAGTAATTAGGATAATATAAACAGATCCAATCATATGATAAGTACATTTGTGTATACCTATACTTTATCATATAAATTTATAATAATACAAGATAAAAATTGAACATTTTTTTATTATATACGATGTATATTTTTATTACTTTCAGCAAATTTTATTTCACCTTATGCTTTTTACGTATTTATTGTAATACAAATTATTTTTTTCTAGAAAAAATTTGAAATATACAAATATTCTACTTTTGTTATAAAGTACATTTCCAGCATTTAATTTTTTACATATGAATGAAATAAAGAAGAATTTCTTATTTGAAATAGTCATACACAGTGAAAATAAGAGTCTTATTTAATAATAATTGTATTTCCTTTCATCGTCGTCTATGACTTCTTTTCTTTATCCTGAAAAAGAATGAGAAAATATTGGTAATTTATAAAAATAATTTTATGTCATAATAAATTGAAGAGCGAAAAGTATTTTACTTTTTTGGTCCTTTTACGAAACACCAATCTACAGAGATAGGTTGTCCTAGGATTTCTGTTCCATTTAACGCATCCTTTGCTGCTTGAGCTTCCTTAAATGTTTCATATTCTACCAAGGCATATCCTTTTAGAAATCCTGTTCTTCTGTCCAAATTCAAATGTATATTTTTTATTTGGCCAAATTCGGAAAATTTGTCTTGTATATCATCTTCCTGTGCTTCTTCATGAACTGAATTTATAAATAAAATCCAGCCTTCAACAGCTAAAATATAGAAATTTATTTTATAAATATAAAATATTTTAATTGTTCTAACGGAAGTAAGTATTTAAATAAAAACTTGAATAAAATAGAACTTCAGAGGAATTACTTAGAAGTCTTACATCTTTGTGGTCCTGGTTCATCATCATCCTCTTCAACAATATTCATTGACTCATAATGACCAACATCGTCACGGGTAGAAACTAATTCTGCACCGTGTCCTCTACCTTTTCTTCTTTTCGCTTTTTCTTTTAAACGTGCAATTCCCTCTGAGGGTAATAAATAAACACGCTAAATGAACAAAAACTATTGCTATCGTGTAATAAAATATATTTTACATATGCCGAAATTAAATGAACAATACAACGAATGAGGTTATGTGTACAAATAATACTTATGTTTGAATATGAAATTAAAATAAAAAATATAAACTTACGATCGCCTTCATCGTCAACTTCAAACTCTTCTGCATTATCAATATCTAAAACGTCTGCCATAATTTCTTTTATGTACTTGTTTTAGTTTTAATGAATGTTAAAACTTGACAAAAAGCCGTATTTACCACAAAGTACTACAGAATACGGTCACTACAATCATTGACTGTGTAATGGATAGTAGAATAACTACGCGTTTGAGTCATGAATTGATTTATATGTAAACGAAGTATTTATAGCTTTTACTATAGAAAAAATTAGAATTGCGAAAAAAATAAAATTATTTACTTTATATTTAATAATAAATTGTCGGTTTTATTTTTTAATAGAATTTAATTCAACTTTATTTATATTTATCTAGAACATCTACAATTACATTTATTAAATATTGAATTATTTATATTCGTTTTTTATACCTGTAAATATATAAAATTATAAGATATCAATAATGAATAAATCGTATTTCATGTGTTCAGAATCGATCTTTTAATACTTCATGAAGAATATCGCGCCAAATTTCAATACATCATCATCTAACCCAACTATAATCATGCAATAAGTAACCATTTCTAAAAAAAAATTGCTTTTTATTCTAAATTAATAAGTAAAATGTTGGGATTGCGCATATTGAGAATGAATAACATAAAACATTTTTTTCAAATGTCAGTATAATTATTCAACTCAGCCGGAACAGTTAAATGGCAACTGGCCCAGTAACAAATAATAAATCGCTGTTACAATGCAATGATGAAAAAGATGAAGAAAAAACAGGAAAAAAATTAACTGTTCTTGAGTCACATGGTTACTGTCTTGGAAAAACTATAGGCGCCGGTTCATATGCTACTGTGAAAGTACGTTATCCATATAATAAATAATTCAATCAAAATTAATGACTGAAAAATTTATAATAACATTAATAAATTTAAAAAGCAATAACCAAATTTATATTAAAATATGTAATATAAAGGTTGCTAACTCGGATCGACATGCTTGTCAAGTAGCAGTAAAGATCATTTCAAAATTTCAAGCACCCGGCGAATATTTAAGAAAATTTCTGCCACGTGAAATAGAAGTAGTTAAAGGTTTAAAACATCCAAATTTAATAAGATTTTTACAAGCGATTGAAACAACCCATCGGTTAGATACTTTCTATATGCTTCTTATAGCATACATACATACACGAGTGTATTAAAAATTTCTTTCTGTGTTATTCATAATTGTTAATTATTTACATTCAGTGTGTATATTATTATGGAATATGCTAAAAATGGTAGCTTGCTGGACACAATAAAACGAGATACGTACATTGATGAACTGCGTAGTCGTAGATGGTTTCGTCAATTATTGGAAGCGATTGATTATTGTCACGGACGGGGTATAGTACATAGGTAAAAAGTGGATAAGAAATTGTAAAAAAAATATTATATTCATAATTACCGAAATTATTCAAATTTGAGGTTCTGTCACTTTAAATTAAATAATGATTTTCTTTAAAATATTTTTGTATCATACAAATTATTAATTTATTTCTTCATTTTACTAATTGCCTTTATCTTTGTTCAGTATAAACAAATAGTCAATTTCATTTAGGGATGTAAAATGTGAGAATCTTTTAATGGATTCTAATTTTAATATCAAATTATCCGATTTCGGATTCGCACGAGGACAAATGATATCAAAAAACGGAATTACGCCACTAAGTGAAACTTTCTGTGGAAGTTATGCTTACGCGTCGCCTGAAATATTAAAGGGAATCCCCTATTTGCCTCAATTATCTGATATATGGTCCATGGGCGTAGTACTATATGCAATGGTTTACGGTCGGCTACCATTTGACGACACAAATTATAGTCAACTTCTAAAGGTACCCAGGTACATTAAAAAGAAACTGTATAAAATGATGCTGCCTAAAATTTTCTTTTACATAACAATACAGTGAATATTGGATAATTGCAACATCAGGGACCTCTTCATTCCCACCATATCCAAACTATGTTCCTTTTAACACACGTTCGATGTATAATAGTGCTCGACGACCGGCCGCGATCGAATGGTGTAATATGATGATCCAACTATTGTCGAACTCGACAATTTCGATTTTTGAGTTGAACATTTTAAGCTCACCGCGAGCCTTTAATGCTGCCATGCTAAAATCTTCGTTACTTGGGGTGGATTCAATTCTAACTTTTCATAATTACAATCTTCCAGTCCTGATGAGTGTTGCTACTATTCAATGTTCACTGCATTACTCTTTCATTAAATTTTTTTATTATAGTAACTCATTCTTTCCTCATATAGCAAGTACAAGGTAGAATTGTATTTCCGAAAACGCCAATGGTGTCTCAAGCTTGTCGTTCCCTTATTTCTCGTATACTTGTGCCACAAAGAACACGATTACGCATTGATAATATAAGAAACGATGTATGGCTTACCGCATCTTACGTTGCAGCTCAAACTTCTACTACTGATACATTTATGGTAACATTTTGTATCAGTTTTGTTCATCATTTGATCGGTACAGAATAATTATTCAAATTATTAAATTTTATGCATTAGGATATCTCAGATGCAAAGCCAAAAGAAAATGGAATAACAGAAATTATAAAGAATGAAAAAATAAATAAACATAACTGATGTAAGAGATCAAATCATCGAAACTCAGTTCTCTGATACAAGTAAAACAAATTAAAACAACTGTTTATACTCGAAACAGATGATAAATGTCTATTACCGCTAAATATCATTTCTTCGATTTTCTGTATTTCATGTAACATAAAAATTATCACAGTATTATGGCACCTTTATTTGTATTCTTTTTCAGTTTGTTTTCTGTACTTATAGTATTATTTTACAAAGTATACTAACTAACAGGACCTGCCTAAATGCATTATCTAAGAAAGACAGTACATAGTACTGCACTCTTTGAATCACAACATAGTATGATACTTAGCAATCATAAGCAATATTATAGTACTTATCATAAAAATACCACTGGCAGTTGCTTTATGAATACTCTTGGCATCATCTGCAAATAAATTTGTTCATTTTTTAAATAATTCATTGTTAAGAAATACAATTTAAATCAATATTTTTTTGTTATATATGATTATAATATATTTACCATTGGTATCTATTATTGGTTCCCATCCTAAACTCCGATCAATAGCCTTTTTCCATTGCGAATACAATATATCTTGTTCTGCATTAAAGAACATAATACTTTTTATATACCGAATAAAAGCAAGAGGTTTAATGAGCTCACCATTTTCTGTTATCGACGGTATAAATGTATCGCTTGGTACAGGTCCATTAATTTTTACATCCCATTTACGTATGCCATCTGCGCTTCCTGCAGCTATTGCAACTCCAAGGGCAGTAGTCTCACACATCAGTGGCCTGACTTTCTTGTAAAAATGTTTTTTTTCATAATATATTTATTTAATTCAATACAAAAAAATAATAATTTCCCTTACCAACTGGAATTCCACAAATGTCAGCTTGCATTTGCATTAATAGATTATTGTTAGTCATCGCACCATCTACTAACAATTTAGATAAAGATAATCCGGTATCCTTTTTCATGGTTTCTAAAATATCTCTTGTCTGAAAGCAAACGGCTTGTAACGCTGCTTTTATGATATGAATACTATTAGTGTCTTCTGTAATTCCACATATAACACTGAAATGATGACACTTTGCAACAGACATGTGACAGTAATATTATTTAAGGATTTTTATGTCACCATATGATAAGTTAGTGAAAATGTCACATTGTTATTCTATTTACCTTCTTGCATCTTTCCTCCAATATGGAGCATATAATCCAGCAAATGCAGGCACAAATGCAATATGGTTATCAGTAGGAATTTGTTCAACTAAAGTTTCAGACTCTTTTAAATCTGATAATATTCCAAGATTATCTTTTAGCCACTGAATAATTCCACCAGCTATTGCTACAGAACCTTCGAGGGCATAAATAGGAGGAGCCTGTGGTCCTAATTGGTAAGCAACTGTTGTTAACAGACCGTGAGATGAATCTACAATCTTAAAAAACCATTTATTGATACTTTACTTATTAAAAAACTTTCTTGTAAGTATTGAAATTGATCTTACAGCAGTTCCAGTATTATATAAAAGGAAACAACCAGTACCGTAAGTGCTTTTTGCCTGACCCTTTTGTAGACACATCTGACCCACGAGTGCTGATTGTTGATCGCCTAAACACTGAAAAATATTTATTTATTATTTTTCATATAACAAATACTATTCTAAGAAATAATAATTTTTATTTAGAAATACAAACCCCCGATATTGGTACACCAGCCATTATCTCATCTTGAATGTAACCATAGATTTCTGATGAACTACGGATCTCTGGTAAAATTTCTAATGGTATATCGAAAAATGATAACAAAGTTGGATCCCATTTCAAGGTTGTGATATTCATCAGCATTGTTCTTGAAGCATTGGTAACATCGGTAGCATGAATACCAAATTTTGTGCCTCCAGTTAAATTCTATAATCGACAATTGATAAAACTTTTTCTTTATTTTTTTTAAAGAACTTAAATATTAATAAATATTAAACTTACCCAAATTAACCAAGAATCAATTGTGCCAAACATGCATCGTTTTTTATCTAATGCTTCTTGAATACGGGGTACATTTTTTAATAACCACTTCAACTTTAAAGCACTGAAATATGGACTAATTGGTAGACCACAGAGTGGTTTTAGGTAATTTTTATTTTGATTACGAATTTTTTTTAATATATCATCCACTATCGAAGTGGTTCTCATGTCCATCCAAACTACAAAATAATTTATTTAAAATTTTGTTTATTTGGTATTATAACTATAGATAAATTAAAGATTAATTTTTAGATACAACCTATGGCATTGTATAATGGTTCTCCCGTAACAGAATCCCATACAACTGTGGTTTCTCTTTGATTTGTTATACCAACTGCAACTATATCACCAGGATCTATGGTAAGTTGTCTTAAATTAAATACAGTTTGATGAAGACATTCCCTAACTGCTGTCAATATTTCTATAGGATCTTGTTCCACCCATCCTTCTTTTGGACATGACTGGGATATTGGAACTTGATGATAAGTTAATACTTCTGCTGTGTTTGCAGCAAACACCTACAACATTTAGATAAATAACACTACTTGAAATTATTTATTCTATTAATTGTTTCAATTAAGAATAGGAAGTCTTAATTGTTTAAAGAAATATCATAAATTTATGCGAGCATACTAACATAAAAGACTATAGTTGAGACATGACAAAGAAGTTTTATTGTAAAAATAAATGAAATTTCATTACCAAAAATCTAGCACTACTTGTCCCTTCATCGATTGCACCGACCAGGGGTCCATATCTACTTGTCGACTCATTTTTGTTCATCTCATAAAGAGTTAATCGAACGTATGCCAAAAGTCACGCGCTTTTGTTTCCATCCACTGATATCACGCAGTTCAAACTATGATATGACACAACTATAAATATGAAATTAACAGTGAGAAATACAAAGAAACATGTTGTCACACAGTGAGGTAACTATGGGAATCATCCTATAAAAATAAGTGGTTTAGATCACGCGCACGTGTTAGCTGTTTTACATCGATCGTCCTCTCGATGAGTAGCAAGAATTCCCGTGCATCACCGTCCATGACAGAGTCTTACATACCGGTTTCCATTTATAGATACATATATTTACTTGACACAGATTATCATGCTGTTTGTTTAAAATTGGCGGTTAATAGTTGAATAAACTACTTCACAAACTACATTACAGTTTGGCAGTCAATGTACTTAAAAAAAATTAAATCTAAATAAAACGTTTTGATTGGATCATGAAAACGCTTTGATAAAGTGAGATCAAGTATTACTTCTGTGTTTCCTTTTCTATGATCAAGAGATCGCTACCCTGATAGCAGTAATTAACATATAATTTAATGTAACGGAAAGGAAATGTTTAAACCTATATATAGCGACTAGATGAATTTTTACCGTTATTTTTAAATTTAATACAATGGCAACGCAGAAATACATTATTATATGAATGATTTCTGTCTTTTGGCATATGTGAAACATCTAATCACCTAAATGCATTGAAAGATGTGTTCCATGTGCGTTTATGCGATTAATAAAAATTACAATAAGATTATAAGATATATATTATAATAAATATATTATATATATATATTAATAATCATGGTAAACATGATTAAAAAATACATGTAATTTTGGAAAATTGAAAATTCTCGTAAAATATGGCTACGTAAAAAAGATCCGATAGAGGGCATTCAACGCGTGCATACGCAATCGTGTGCCTCCACCTGAGGCGAGGGCAACATCAAATTCCCGTTCGGATTCCTAAAAGTGACAACGATTTCGTTGAGTGATTTTTGTGGTGCTTTCATCGCAACCAACGTTCCTACCTGTCATGAAGGCCTAAATGGCGTTGGCATCAAGATCCGTCTGCCGTTTTGCTCGCTGCCAATCGTTCGAACAGAGAAACGAAAATTTCAAGTCAGTGCTGGCAACTTTTTACGTTTATTATAATGCTTCATTTTGACGATGAACACAGGCAAATATTTTGTTTACCGTGTCTCGAATACGTTATTGTTAGGGTTATTGGATTTTAGCGGTTACTTGTCGACGCCAGCGAAAAACGGAATGCTTCGTTGCATACTGCGCCGAACGTTGCCCATCGGACGCTTGGACGCATTATTTATTGTTTCTTTGTTTCGCAGAGTGTATCGACGGATACGTTATTGTTCGACGATACACGATGCTTGCACGACGATGGATGTTGCCCTGTTTACGGCACACGCTGTACGCTATTACATAAGAAGAGATCATTTCGAAAAATCAAATTTCAAAAATTTCGATGCTACTCGTACAAATACTATGATGAAAATCAAAACACATTTCGTGAAGTACCAATATCTCAAGCCGTTGTTCTTTTCTAGGCTAATGGTATAATTGAATGCGCGATTAATTTCACTCTAATTTCTTAATTTGAATCCTTTACTCTCTAAACTTTACTTGTAATTTTTCAAGTATTTGCCAACTGCTGATGTTATATATTATTAATTATCAATATATTGATTAGGGCAAAGCAGAAATAATTTATATTAGATTTACATGTAACTTTCTAGACTCATTTTATAATAATATATTATTTTTACAGTTGCCGAAACGATGACGGCTGATTCAGAGAAAGATAGCACCCACTGTTTAATATGTAACAGTAAAGTTGGTGTATCCACTCGGAATAGTATACGTATTTTTAATGAAAATTCTCTTACGTCGTCAGAGAAACCACTTGCAGATATCATTTGTGCTGTTTTAGAAACAGATTTGAATGAAGAAAGTGTACATTCTGTTGTCGTATGTAAAAAATGCTATAAATTATTCAACGAGGTAATTAAGATTACGAAAATATTAGTTTTAATATACGTTTGTAGTTATGTTGAAGTAAAAGTAAAATTACAAGGGTAATATTTTTAGGTTGATGAATTGGAAAATAGATTAACAGAGGTGAAATTAGAACTCTTTAACAATTATAAAAGGACTGTGAAGAAAGTATCTGACATGCAAAATGAAGAAGAATATAATGATCATGATTATATAGAAAATACAGAAAGCCAAGATATGGAACTAAAATATGTGGAGAAAGTAAATAATAGTTAAATCATAAAAGGTTAAAAGGTTACATTGTAATATTATTTTAACATTATAAAATTTACTTAAAGGATGAACAAGAAATGCAGGAGCTGGAAGGAGAGGAAGAAAGATTAGACGAAGAAGAAGAAGAAGAGGAGGAACCTACTTGCGAAGCAGAAGAAATTATTCTTAAAATTGAACCGATTCCTGAAACAAGTAATACAGAAGAAAAGAAGAGGATAAAACGATCAAAGGTTCCAGCAAAAGCTGAAATTACCCAGGAGCAAGTAAGGAATTACTAATTATGTGGATTAACTTTTGCTTCCAGTAATTACAAAACACTATATTCTTTCAGATTGTAAGCAGAGATGGTTCTATCTATACTTGTTTGTTATGTACAAATGAAGAAGACAAAGCTGTTGGAGATGCGAAATCTATTATTGCCCATATGAAAAGTGTACATGAAACTCGTTTATATATTTGTGATATATGTGGAGATGACTTCAAGAAGAGAAACGAACTTTCTCTTCATCTTGACGATCATGTCGCTAAGGAAGATGGTGATTTTCAATGCGAAATATGTAATAGAATATTTAGTAACTTGCGCTTGTTTAGAATTCATAAGCGGATACATTATCCGCAAGTAAAATCTTGGCCGTGCGAAACGTGCGGTAAAAGATATAGGTACACGTCAAGGATACTTATTAAAAAATGCACTTAAATTTGTGTTATTATTAAAACATATTCTTTGTTTTTGTAGCTCTAGAAATTTATTGGAAGAACACATTAATACACATACCGGTGTGCGTCCTTACGTCTGTGAGAATTGTGGAAAAGATTTTGCTTCCAAATATACATACAAGGCACATATAAAAACACATGAAATTAGACCTCGTCCTTATGAGTGTTCACAATGTAATAAATCATTTTTAAGTCAGCAAAATCTCAATCAGCATGAAAGAACTCACAATGGTGTAAAAGAGTACATTTGTCATCAATGTGGTACGACTTACTCAATCATTTCTCATCATTCATTGTCTTTAGAATTTTCGATTGCTTACAGAAACTTTTAAATTTATAGGAAAAGCTTTTGGCTCGCCGCATAATCTAGAGGTGCACAATATAGTGCACACAGGTTATAAGCCATACATATGCAGAATGTGTGGTAAAGCATTTGCTCGCAAAGCTGAAATAAGAGATCACGAAAGGACACACACTGGGGAGAAACCGTACCAATGTGAATTTTGTGGGGCCACATTTAGGTATATCTATACCATTATTAATCATGACGGTCAATAGACAGAAGAATATTACAGTATATATTATTATAATTTTTTAGTCAGAGGTCAAATTTACAATCCCATAAACGTGCAACGCATTACAATGATAAGCGGTATAAATGTGACGATTGTGGAAAAGGATTTAAACGACGAAGGTTACTAGACTATCATATTAAAGCAGCGCACACTGGCGAAAGACCGTACAAATGTGAAATTTGCACAGCGACGTTTGTTTATCCTGAACATTTTAAAAAGCATATGCGCATACATACGGGGGAAAAACCGTATCTCTGTGAGGTACGTACTATGTGAGTTATTATTTATTATATAATTGTAATATAATATCTTTTAACATGGCGTCTTGAAATTTTAGGTTTGCGGTAAAGCATTTAATAGCAGAGATAATAGGAATGCGCATCGATTTATACACAGTGATAAGAAACCGTACGAGTGTTTAGTATGTGGTATGGGTTTTATGAGAAAACCTTTGTTATATGCTCACATGCAAGCTCAGGTGAGTTGATGTGTTACTTCAAGATAATAAATCTGTGCATATGTATTCATACAATCAGTGCTAATGTTGATTATGCTTCTTCAGGGACATCTAAACGATACCATTGTCGTTAATCAACCGCGACTTACTACCGAGGACGATCAAGTTTTAACAATTCCTGAAGGTGACGTGGAACTGCTAATGGACGAACCTGAAAATGATCAGGTAATTAAGTGTATTTTAGTTGTAAGAAAATATTAGGTCGCATAATATAAAATGTTGGATTTTACGACAGAAAGGAAACTTTATCTGATGTTCTAAAAGACATTTATTCAATCAAAATATGCTCTATTTGATTCGACGTTTCATATTACACG